TCTCTCTCAGTCTCTTTCGCTCTCTCTCTCTCTCTCTCTCTCTCTCTCTCTCTCTCTCTCTCGGTCTCTTTCGCTCTCTCTCTCGGTCTCTCTGTCTCTCTCCTTGCCAATTTTCCTAAATAAAGTTGCAACAATCTGCAAACAACACGCTCGCATTCTAACTTCCGGAAGACAAGAAGACCAGCGAGATAGAATGAAACTTTTGAAGCTTTACGCGCCCGATAAGTAGACATGAATATGCGATCGATATACGAGCATTAAATAATTCATACGTCTGGCGGTTACATGATATTAGCGGCTAAATTTATATATTCCATTGAAAAAGGTCGGCCGATATCGCTTCTTTTTTTTGGACGGTTGAATTGTCATAGGCCCCTAAAACGTGGAAAATAAAAATTGAATTGGAAATGGATGAGCAAATAAATATAAGCTCGGATGGATAATATCCAGTTGGAAACAGTGTGGTAAATTTACATTTTTATCCCACGCGCGAGTTCTCTTTGATAGCCGTTGGCCAGCGAAATTGCAATAGCAACAACAGCCGCATTAACATAAGCACGAATAAATTGCTTCGTTTCGATCTGTATAAATAAATCGTCTTGGCAATTATATTGGTTTTTGTTTGTACAACTTTCTTTCGATTTCGATTATTTTGGCGCCCACTCGCCAACGTGGCACGTGTACGACTTTTCTGCCTTTTTCATTTCGTTTAATTTACAATCGATTGAGAAGAAATTTTTTGTGCTAACATAATTATTTGGATCGGTCTACATTCAATTGGTTCCATTTGATAGCTAAATAATAATTTAACGACGCCAATACCAGTTTCCAAAAAATCTTTGATATTTATTTCTGCCTGAATTCGAAATGATTTCACGTGTCTTTTGCTTTGCTTCGGTTGCAATGAGACAGATTCTGTCGAAGAGTTGGTTGTAGAAAGCGACTTGTCCACAAATCATGTCAATAGCAATATTTTCGATTTCATCGCAGTTGTTTGTGTCAAATGTCACATCGCAAATGGAAGAATGCCAGCCAATGCATTGAAAATGAATGCCAACGTCAATCAAATTCGACTTTTTTTTCTTCCCAGAACCAATCCGGCTGTCTCCGGTTTTATCACACAAACACGAAACGTGTACACGTACGTGTTTAACAGAAGAAAATGGAGAAAAATAGTAGAAGAAACATATGTACTTACCTCCGGTAAATGCTCCGGAACTTTGCCCATCCAACTTAGTGAAACTATTGAGCAATCACATTTTGCATTCGTACTTTTTTCAAAGTGTAAATGCATTTTTACTACCTAAACTATTTGGTAAAAAATAAGACTATGTGCCGTGATAACTGTGAGCAAATGTGCTGTTCGCTCGTTCGCTCTCTCGTTCACTTGCTCCAACTGTACGAGTGCAACGTTGGGTTCTTAAATCACAATTTATCAGCTGCTATCGAGTAATTTCGCTAGAAGTTTTCCATCGCTTTTGTCATTTGCATTTTGTATTGTTTTGTTCTGCTGGATCGACGTTCTAGGGAAATCTTCTGTCAACCACACACGAATAATATCTGAAATGGAATGGAATGAAATTAATTATCAAATCAACTAATATTTCGTTGGAAAATTAATCGAACCAATTTACACTTTATCACAACGGAATTACTTTGCGATATCGGCTTACATCTAAGCTAATCGCACAACAACAACAGCAACGACGACATCAACGAAAACAATGGCAAGGGAACGAAAGCTAAAAACAATTTATGGCATTGGCATACTTTGATCTTGATGTCGAACACTGCAACCAGTTTCGAAATGAAACAGCCAATTTCAGTTGGAATTAGACTGACTGCGTTGTCATCGTTGTCGTTGTTATGTCGGAATTTTGCTCATCAGGAGGCAGATAAAAAGTCGATCTCATTAATTTGCCATGCAATGTGTTGATGTCTGTGTGCGAGCGTTTGTATGTCGTATTTTTGCCGATGAACCACCGCGTCGTCTCTATTTGCACTGAATGCACACAAATTTGTTAATTTATTGTCAATAATAATTGTTGAAGTTGTAATTGGTGCGCACGACGCGCACAAACTAACTGAAGGTCCAGTCATAGATAATAATCTAATATAAGACCGCATCATTAGTTCGAATTAAACGGGCGAAAATTATTCGAAATGTTTGTGTACGTGCCGGAGTGGTGTAGCATTCGTACGTTCGCTCGCCCAATCATATACACACCGAGCATACATACTAAAATAGTGTATAGTGTGACATTGTGTAAACAAATATAAGCCCAAAGCGACACACTAGAACAACGCACTAACACGGCCACTAATTGTCGTGCTCGTAATTCAATCCATGTGTCGCTTGTTTTGGTTTCCTTTTTTTTTATATTTGTTGCACAACAAAGCGCATAAAAATATTGATAGAAACAGAGAGACAAAAAAACACGCACACTCACGCATCGAAATAGTATTGAGAAGAAGAAGAAGAAGAAGAAAAACATGAAATGCGCGCAAATAGTGAATAGAGTCGACAGAGGCAATGAAGTACTCTATTTGCTTCTTCATCGACATATCTATTCGGTTGTTTTTCCCTGTTGTTTGGCTGGTGGAAAAATGAAACCTTCAAGATGATATGAGCATATTTGAAATATGAATGTAATATGATACAATTTGACGTGTTGCCTTGAATTCAAAACCTAGCAGCAGCAGTAGCAGCACCCAAAAGGTGGAAAAAGAATATATGCGAAAAATCCTTTTAGTACAAATCACATCACCACATATTTATGTATGCGCTCACTGCTGCTTGGTTGTGGGAAGTATTTATGCTTTGATAAATACATTCGCTTCGTTGCAAATCCGCAATCTGTTGGACTTTCATTGGCTTAGTCTATGCTAACGAATGCTATTAGCGTTAATATGTTGGGAGGAAGGAATGTGGAATTAACGATTTCCACCGCTCGTTTATTTCGCCTTCTTTTCTGTGTTTTTTGTTCGCTGTGTTTCTTTAAAATTAAAAGAAAAATGAAGGTATCAACAACTTTTTACTTGACAGCATAATAGAAAACGGTAACCGACCGAATCGAATGATTCAATAGGCGGCTGCAAATAGCATTTGCCATATTGCAGTTGTAATTCAGTTTTCATTAAAAGTAAGCTTCCAACATTCGAAAACCCATGGACTTTCGTTGTTTTTTTTCTTCTTTCTGTTGGCCTGGCAGTGTCTCAGAATAAATAAGCTTGATTCCAACTTTGGGCGAAAATGAAAGACGATGAAAATGCCACTTCGAATTCGGCCATTGCTTTCAAACAGGTGTGCAAATCTTAAATGCCGCTATTCTTTTTCGTCGGTTTTTATTCATTTCTTTCGTGCAGCTTTACATCTTATGAATTAAGTACGAGCGGTGCCGAGCTGATGTTGGTGCTTCCGTTTTTTTCTCCCTCCGAATAAGCCAATGAATTTCGAATGAATGCCGACATTTAAATAGTCTAATCAAAGAAATGTACGGATCTCAATGAAAATGGCAAACGAGAAATACATAAGGTATATGTATATGTAGGTGTTTTTTTTCTTCTTAGATTTACGCTCTTTTAAACAAGGTGAATTTATGTGGAAATGCGCTTCACCTCTGCAGCTCCATTATACTCGACCTGGTGTGTATCTCTCTCATTTCCACACTCTCTGTCCCTGTCTCAGTCTATTTTTCTAACATTTACTCGCCAATTTTCGCAATGCCATATTTTCCATAGCTCGGTCAGTCCACATAAGATCATGTTCAAGTTGAGATGAAATCGGTGGGTTTTTCACGTGAAAAATGGCTTTAAAACTGGGCTGCATTGAGATCTTTAAAATACAATCCTATCTCGACATTGACATAGGCTTTCCTCCTGATACGGCTACATATGTACAAATAGCTTAGCACCATACAGCAGCAGCAGCAACATCAACAACAATAACAGTAATAACAATGGTTGAGAAATGTATGCGCGCAACGAATGAAAAAAAAAAACAATGATAAGCTCCACAAAGTAATCCCATTGCAAAAATGAAAATGAAAATGAAAATGCATGTGTGTAAATGATATCGCATTGTTATGATGAATTCATACGTACCTTTCATTCATTGCAGTGTATCATTGTTCTCGGGCTATTTACTCCGCTGAGAATTCCTTTATGCTTATCTGCTCTTGTGTGAATGTAATTCTGGTCGATGGCATAACCAACAACAGCAACAACAACAAAAAATGAAACAACAACAATAACGACAAGAAGGAAATACACACACACACACTAATGGTCTTTGGTGTGAAGTGAAAAACAATTTCATCAACAACTGAGATACACACTGAATGATGAATAAAACTGAAATTCTTTTTTTAGTTTTTTCCTTTCTTTACTATTTCTTTCTGATTTTTTTTTCTGAAGATTTACATGTCATCAAACAAGCGATTCGTTCTCTCTTTGCCGTCGTCGTCGTCGTCGTCGTCGTCACTCGTTCCGTTTGTATTGCGTAAAATTCGTCAAACTATTTCGAAAATATCTAGATTTGCGTTTTTTGTTCTACACACACACACTTTAAATTCCCACTATATATTCCGATGTATCCGAACTATTCTGCTGTTTTTGTGTTTCTTTCATAGTTTTTTTCTTCTTTCTTTAACTACAGTAATCTAATTGGTAAAAATAATTCACACTACGAACAAAAATTTTATGGAAAATATTAAAAACACAAAGTTCACAAGGGTGTGTGTATGAAATTTGGTGGAACGAAGAACCGTACGAACAAAAAAATTAAGCGAGATTCGAAGAAATAACTCAATATTTACACGCACTTTCTATCTCGCATGCACCACGATAAGAGATTCGCGTATGCGATGGTGAAGATGTGTCGTCGAACAAACGTCAAATTAAAAACTGAAAGAAGAAAGAATTCAGTCGGTGCACAGCCGTTCCCTATTCGCTTTATCGATTATCTAAATGTGGAAATAGAGACGAGGGTTGAAAATTTCATTTTCAGTTTCGGCATTTATTTTCTTTTTTTTTTGCTTCGCTTTGCTGTGTGCCATCCGGAAAAAGGGAGAGAAACACACATTGGTGGTGTGGCTGACCACGCATGTGCAGCTCCGTATGCCGTGTGGCATTGTGAATATCCAAACTTCATCCCCTATATAGAACGTCAATGACGAATGGCACCAGAGACTCAATCACATACACACCAAGGGAGTGAGGGAGAGAGAGAGAGTGAGATTGTTTCGAGATAAAGCACATCGTAACTGTGTTTTTCATTCTCGTTGATTTTATGTTTACGATATGAAAATGTTGCAAACGAATGCTGATTTTGATTTAGTTTACTCACATTTCCTCAAATGACGAATTTTAGCGTTTTAATTATGGAATTCAACGTTATTATGCTCGAACTTTTTTCATCTGGCTGAGAAGCTTTGAAAAAGTCAACGCCACCTAGTGAATACTCGGTGGAACCATGGAAATGTTGATTCAAAGCAAATACGTTGAATTAAATGAGGTTTGTATACGGTTGCACTTTGTATTGAGAACGGAACCTTCCGAACAAATTAATGATGCATGCTATCTTGATGAGCACGATGCAATTGAAGTGAATCAAACAGTATATTTATTTACAGTTGAATAATAACTAATGGCTACGACAAGAGTTTATGCACAGAGAGAATTGAATGTAAGCATTAAATTTATCCTTAAGTGCTATATGTATATATAATATATCAATACCTAATATCATGGGGACATGAACAAGTACACTCTTAATACGAACAATAGTATTTTTTTTTCCATTTGATTATGATTTAAAATATGAATAGAGTCGAATCGTGGAGGGGGAGCTAGTAAACGACAACCAAGACAAAGTCATCGCTACTTTTGTTGTTTGTTTGGTTCTACTTGGTGTCATGGTGGATTTCATTGTTGATCTGTCTCATGTACTTGGCCAATTCAGTGGTGTCAAGTTCATCGTCGTATTCTTGCAGGCTTGAATTACTTATCGTCGTACAGATACTATTCGAACTGGTAATTTTCGGGATACATTTCTGTTTTCGGCCATGGCCGGTTATCACTGTATTTGGTTCGTTGGTTTGATGAATTGAATCGGATTTTTGTTGATTTTTCTTCAGCGGTTTTCGGCTTAAATTGAATTTTGCATTTGCATTGAGATCGTTAATTTCTTTTTTTAGTTGATTAGCTTTGCCAGCTTTTCGCATTGCATTCGCCATACGAGCCATCGGCGATAGATCGTTGGGTCGTTCCGCGTATGCTGAATCTGTGGTATCATTATCATTTCGTTGGCCAGCAATATCCGTTCGTGTCACTTCACTTATGTACGGATTACTGATGCGTTGATTATGCGCCGCTGCCATGCTCAATTTCAACGAACCAATTCCATTGTAACGTGAGAGCATCGAATAAGTGTGATCCGGTCTATAGTCTGTTCCAAATCCACAATGCTTCATTATGGTTATCTAGTTAAAATGAATTAACACGCACACAAATTAATAAATGACCAACAACTGCTTCAGTTTATGGTGTCGCATCAACTAAAACCTTCTGACTTGCAAATTACCAATGAAACAATCATTTGTGCTGTAAACCGAACACTTATGAGTCTATAATGAATGGCCCGCCGAAATGTGCCATATAAAATTAAATGCACATAAATGAGGCGAGAGAAGTCGCTCGCATTTCACACTGTTCTGAATGCGGACGACGTTGATGAAAGTGTGTATCAGCATGATTTTAAAGCGTTCGCACGACCGAGCACAATATGTTCACGGTGGAACAACGACATCATTTCGTCAAAGTTGAAGCGAAGCAATCACATAAACCAAATACGCTTGCGATATAAATATAATTGACATTTTAATTTTATTACCTTAAATGCGTTTCGAAATTTATGACTCATTATACTGTATAATAATGGATTGATGCAAGTTGACATGAAATATAGTACCCCCGAGACGTACGTAAGTACAGTGTAAATGTTGCGAAAGAGTTCACTGGTTGGACGCGAACTCTTCCCATAAACGGCCATCAAACGCTGCGAATGAAACGGTGCCCAGCACAAGAAGAATGCAACGGCGACAGCAACTAGAAATAGACGGCAAACAATGAATAAAACAAAGAAGAAAACGATATACAGTTAAAAAAAAGGGAAAGAAGAAGGGTTGGGCACGCGATTTCCGATAAAAGCCAATTATTCAAAGGAAATGGCATTTTGAAGGAGGCATTTATGTTCATCAATGAGCTTTCAATTTGCTTCAATTCATTCTATGGGCCAATAAAATGTGACATCAATGTCAAAGGGTTATGTACGCTGCCTGACTGATCGTACAATTTCAATTTTCAGCTACAGCATACGTGCATCCAGGCGGATACAAACAAACAAAAATAGCCAATTTTAATCCACCTTATGACTAAACAACAAAGTATTCTCCATTCCGGCTATACATAAATAAATAATAATAATGATATTCACTGTCAAATGTGCGACAATATCATTGTCTGGCCAATTTGAACATTTGATCATTTGTTTTCGGACTGAAGTTTGTTTTTCCCAATTAAAGGCGGATATTTAGTATTTTTCGAGGAGAAAAAAAATCAAAGTCGTAAAAGCATCAAAATGTGAAGCACACATAAAATTGGTCACGAAACAGCGAAAAAAGACCGAAAAAAAACTGAAAAAACATTCGGAACATTCAAAACAAATCAAATAACATTTCCAACAAGAACACATAAAATGTTTGATAAAACGCGATTCGCTTGCATGACAACATCCAAACTGAAAAAAAGACATACACCTCAACCACGGACTGCGCTTCACCTCCGATAGAATGTTTATCTCTGTTTCGCTTTGCATGCGTTTACTGTTTCTCTTGCTCATTTCGTTTTCTGTCATTGAATTTCAGAAAAATTTCAAAGACAACAAACACACCAGAGCCAGAAAAAGAAGAAGAAGAAACAAAATCACTGCGAATGTTGATTCGAAACTTACTTAACATACGAATGATACGTGTTTGACCGGAAATACTTCGGTTGATCTCGCAACTGTCACGTGTGATGCCCTGCAATGTCTTGCTGTTCCTCAATTTAATTCCGATTAAAACATACAAGACGCAAATTAATGTCATCGGTCCGACGAAGAACATAAACGATGATATTTCAAATGCGTGCTCGACCAATATGTTCTGGACCTGAAAAATCGAGCAAGAGTGATAGATAGAGAAAAAAAAATAAAATCGTATACTTTTTTGATATGGAAAAATCATATCAGTTATAATAAAGTAAGCGCCAAAGCCTACGCTAAAATTGTGGATGAGAACGGGACATATTGAATAGTTTGGTTGAAATGGTAATTGATATCGGCAATAAAAGGCAATAAGGAAGATCACACCGCAGCATCAAACTGTGCGCTTGTGCCAGTCGCGTCGAATAAAACGATGGTGCGCGGCGTGACCATTCCATATCTCTGTTTCTCATCAAAGAGTTTCTTTATTTTTATATCTGTCGCTTTTCGTAATTTTCAACCAAGAACAGGCGAACACAAAAAAAGAACACATCAACAAAAATATGGAATAAAAATCCACTTACTGTGCACGAATGTCCTCCATTTATTGAAACCACGCCAAATTGGATGGCTTGCGGAATGGCAAAGCAAAAAGCAACTATCCATACTCCCATAATGAACTTAACAGCACGTGATAATTTTGACATGGTATGTTGTCTATAAAATGGATGGAAAACATGCCGTTATGAATATATTGTGATATCTAGCATCAGCATACTTTTTCGCTAGCTTATAGCATTTGTGTGTGCGTGTGTGTTTTATTTCACTTCGCTCTCTCTCTCTCTCTCTCTCTCTCTCTCGCTCTCTCGTAATTTAATTTATTGGCGTCGATTAATTCTCGCTCATCGCGTATCAGCGGAATCGAAAACTTGATTTTTATTTGTTTCTTGTCCTCAACTATTCCGTCCGGTTATCTCCGTCTAAACGGTGGAACGTGAGAGAGTGACAAAGATACATGCATAGATTGGAGCCATAAGTATAAATGCTTGGCTTGAGCCAAAAAATTCATTAAAATAACATTTTGCGCACGATCACAAATCGACACTAGAGATGAAGTGGAAATTAAAACAGACAGAAAAAAAAACAAAATAAAATAACGACGAACAAACCTGAATGGATGACAAATAGCTATGTAGCGCTCTATGGTGAATGAAGCAATTGTCAAAACGGTAGCATTTGTCGATGTCTCCGATAATAGTCCTTGCAAAATGCAAATGGTGTGCGTGAATCGATAGTTATGAGGGAACCATATATTATACGTGTCTTGAGGCATTCCTACAATAAATGTCAATTACAAATATTAATAACAATAAAAGGATCGCTCCAGCGATCGTTGCTACTTTTTTAAGTCATTCCAATCGCGAAGAGATGTGGTAGAATGATAATGGCATCAAGATGAAAAATATGCGTTGCGAGAACTAGATTGTTTGTGTTTGTGTATGTTTTTATTTATCGAATTCTTCAAAATTGCGCTCTTAATGATCTGCTCTTAGCAACACCCAGGGGGAATCCGGGAATTATTTTTTTCGTTGGTTTGATTCACTCACCTGATAATAAAAGTATCAAGTCTGATATGGCCAAATTAAATAAATAATAGTTGGTCGCCGTGTGCATGGATTTATTGCGATAAATTACTGCGCATGTGATCACATTTCCCAATAGTCCAGCAACGAATATGAATGAATAGCACATAGTAACGAGTATGAGTACAGCCAACGGTTCTGGTTCAAAGCGTATCACATTGTTTGCGTCTAACGGTGTGGTGGCATTTCCAAAACCACCACCGTCCAGGATCAGGTCACTCGAATTCAATTCGCTGATCATGTTGCCAATTGGATAGCTGTCGTTTGTTGTACCATTTAAATATAATTCTTTCCATTTGTGTAGCGTTTGCACATTAAGTGTTTCATTTAGCTGATCGAAAAGATGATTGATTCGATTGAATAACATTTGTTTTCGATTTTTTTGGTTCAACGAAAATCTTGTGGAAAATCAATTGATCGGCGATCAATTTTACTTATTCTTCGTGTATTTTTATGTGACTATTGATCACGTTCTTCCTATATCACGTCGCTTGATCTGAAAATTGCAAACACAAATCAAATCAGAATATTTTCACAGTACATTCGGATAGACATAAGAGAACGAAAAACTACAACATCAACGTGATTTTTACGAGGTTTCCGTGTCGGTTTTTTTTATAGGTCGAAAATATTTCACGTGTAAGTGCGTGTAAGAGATAGGAGCGAAGTGCCGGTATTTCACATTATAAATAGTTTGATTTGAAATGTAAACACCGTCAACAGTACCACGCAAATAAAATTGAATTGAATTTGGCTTTACACCTCATGTTTTATTTACGAATCAGGCACATAACATTTTTTGTTGTTCGACTTGGAAAATAAACATGAACAGTGGCAATGACTGTAGGTTTTTTTTTGTGTTCAACCAAAATGATCCACCAGTTTTCGTTCACTTTTTCGATACATTTATTTAATTTATTTTTCATGTATTGGCCCAAAGTCACCAGTGTATTCCCCTATCGATGGATTGGTGTATTCTCGGTTAATTATTTGAGGTCTGGTTGTGCATTCTAAAACACGTCTGGAATGGTTAAAAGGAGGTCATTCTTGCACTCACTTCACCAAATTTCATTGGAATACACTGGCTCACTCATTATTGGGCGGTGTCATCGACACAGAAATAAATTTTTAAAAGTTTCCAAAATTAAAAGAAAAAAAAATCTTGGCCCAATGCAAGGATGCAGATAACCCGATCAATTTTGCAACACAAGAAAAAATTAAATTTTTATTGTGATTACTTTTGCTAACCTTCAACACACAACAGACTTCCAACAATTGCCGCGGTGGGGAAAGTTCTTTTGGTTCTTATCGCGCAAATTTTCGAACGAAGTTTTTTGTTTGTTGATTTTCGTTTGTTATTTTTATTTTGATATTCCGTTGGGTATTCGGTATGAATTTTTCTACGCACTTCAGATTCCGATTGATCTGTGATGTTCTTCTGTTTTTTTTTTCTTTTAAGACGTTGGAAAACTTGTAAACTGTATAAACATCTAATGTATAATCATACTCGAACTTGCATATATTTATATCGCTCACTTTCACTATTTGCAACTGAAACACAGGCCAGAGAGAATGAAACTCGAATACCACAAAATGTTTGTTTGTTAACAATGTCAAAAGTTAGAATTACAAGTGTTCTTGTGCCACACATTTAGAATAAGTGCGATTGTTGTACAGCATTTCAACTTTGTTCATCGCTTTTAGTGCTTCCTTGATTACACATCTCTTAATTTTTGTCTGTACTATGCTGTTTCGTTTATTTTTATTTTCTCTCTCTATCTCTTTCTATCTATTTCTATCTCTTTCTTTCGCTCTGTCTTTTGTTACTTTATTTTTATTTTTCTCTTCGTTTTGTGCGTTTGTGCGCTGCGCTGCGATTGTGTGTTGTTTGCAGCAATGTCTTCAGTGTTTAATTTTTCTGTTTTTGTGATAAAACATAAATAGGCAAGACACATCACATCACATCACACATGCTGCTTAACCCGAAAACTTTGAGACTGCGAACACACAAAATTTAAATCATATTCCATTAAAACAAAAATCCGTGTGTATTACAATAACCTGATAAACATGTTTTTTTCGTCTTGTTCTGGTTTTAACTTTTATAAGATCATATATATATATATATTGGCGAATATTAAACCGAACCGACAAACAGAGAGAAAAAATCCGTCATGTATAGTGTTTTTTTTCTCTTCTTTTGTATATTATTATTGAGATATTGATAGTGGCACTTTGGATTAAATCTTTGACTCGATGAAATTTCGACCGTTTATCTAAAACGGTTGGCGCACACTCTCATGTGTCACGACCACGACCACGACCACGACCACGACAACGATGGCGACAAATTAACACACCAAAAAACAAAAGCCACCAATATGCGGGAGATGATAACACGCATATCGACAGGACCTGTTATTATGAGACACAACAATGACACCAGAAGAAGCAATAAAAAAAAATAAAAAAAAAATAAATAAATAAACGAAACACCGAACGAGAAAAACTTTTTAACCCTATTCCTGTAACTTAATACTGTGTATTACACATTGTTTTATGGGTTCTGGAGAGAAAGAGAGAGAGAGAGAGAGAGAGAGAGAGTCTCATTGACTCATCCAGTATTTTATCAAAATGTTCAAAACTTGTTTGTTTATTTTCCACTTGGCTTGGTGATGGTCACTGGCTGAGATCAGTCCCAGCATTCGCGTATTTTTTTTCTCTCTCTTCATTCGCACGGGCCAAACAACAAATTATTCCTTAAATTATTCTATTTCACAATAATTAGTACAAAATGTTTCCGTTACACCATGACCAATGTTAAACGTTTGATCACCCATGTAAACCGGAAAAAGAAGCAATTTATTATTATTTATTTATTTGGCGCCAAACCAAATGAATCCGCGGTATTTTTTTATCGCTTCTATTTTCAAATCAAAATGTTGCACGCGCGCTACATTATGGGGCCGTTCACGAAAATTGCGCCCAATCGAAACCGTCAACGAATTCGAAATGGAAGTGATTGTTGATGAAGTGCAAAGATACGTGCCCTTCAATCGACGGCAACGACAACGATGACGACGACAACAAAATCGCTAGCGATGTTAAATGCCGTTTTGATAAAAAAAAAGTACTCCTCTGCAGCACGCATAACGTGGTGCTAACACACCGTTGACAGTGATACACACTGTGTGTTCAACTTGACTTTAATATACGTCGTATTGGTTTTTGATATGGTAGCCAACGGCAGCTACGATTCGTTGAATTAATATTCAGCTATACATTTTGTTACACTACGAACAAATCAAATGGGGCGTCCGTCTTGCCGTACTGCGCTTCGCCAGAAACAGTGTGTCACAAAATACGCGGATACAGACACACGAATGACAAACCGATAGCAGACGGATTTTGTGCCACAAATTTTGATCTTTTTCACATGTTTTCGTTTCTTCTTTTTTTCATCAATTTGAGTTTAATTGAGCGGCAGAATCGGAACGATAATAATCGATTTGTGAACTCACTTCCATTATCGAAATGCGCGTGAAAGATCTCGCAGAGAGATTGAGAGAGAGCGAGAGAGGGGGAAGTGAACGACAAAAAACGGCCCACGAGTAAACAAAACAACAATAAATGTTTGCCGATAAAAAGAAATAAAGACCAATGATTTCCAATGGATCCAAGAAATTCCATCAGCAAAGTAGCCAAATGTAAATGAACAGAATGGAAATAAAATGTTGAGGAATTCTAACCGCAATAAAAGAAACCCACCGATAACTGTTCTGCTACTTTTCTTGTGAACCTATTGCAAAATCGTCTAAAAAACACATTGACTCATTCAAATGACATTTGGTTCAAAAATTCGTAAACAATTTACCCGTTGACAAAATGTTGCGTTTTCTTCAATCACATAAACACACACACACATATATACACTCGCTCTACTGATCGAACTATATATGACTATATGATTATGATAAAAATCGTGTTATGCTTCAAGGATCACAAGATTAGAGGAACTGGTGATGAGTAAATGTGGCTATTTTTGGAAATATCCTCAATCATTCGTTTTAATGGTCGATGATAGCAAGTCACTGACATCAATTACCGGGGCCACGATAAATTGTTTTATTTTTGCCCAAAGTCACCAAATAAATTCCAAAAATGTGACATCTCTTTAACTCGTAATAATTACACAGCAATTCTATCTCGTTGTCAGCTCTTTGCTTTTCTCTGTTGATTGGCCAACTAGGCTGGGTCTGGGTATGTTACATCTGGCACGTTCTCACTTTCCGTAAATGCCACTGGTGTGGACACAACTCAGTTCAAAAGTAGACAGCAACGAAACCGAAATGTTATTTTTATGAATTCCTTTTCGAGTAATGGCTTGCTGCTTGCCCATAACTTACAAGATTTCCAATTCTTTTTATGCGCGCCACAATATAAACGACAAGATAATAAAAAAAAAAACAGAACCGAGTTATCGTTAATCTATTTCGTTACTGTCGCCCATCATCGTGTCAATACGTGCTTTGCTGTTGCTGCTACTGATTTGTGTGCTGGTCGAGTTCATTATAATATGCATGGAATATATATCACCGGAGTCCAAAAATGAAATGGATCAAGATGTCACTAAATATGTAAAATTGCCAAAAAAAGAAAATCTCGTTCAACTTTATCTACGATCTCATTTTAAATTCGTAAAGAAAAAATGTAAACATAAAATAGTTGCGCGGTTCTACACTGCATAGAAACGACGATATTCAATGAGCCGTCAGTTGTAACTGTTCCGCAAAAAATACCGGGAGTCTTAAGCCGTTGTTACGTTACAACGATAAGCTCATCGGAATATCATATACACATTCCGTGAATTTATTTCGACTATGAGATAGCCAAAGACGTGTGTCGACCATGAAAATTAAGCCAACGCATCGGTGAAAGAAAATTGATACATAATTGAGTCAGTCGTTTGGTATTTGGTATTTAAGTAGTCCATGTATTACTCTCAGCCAGCTGAGTTTTCATCGTCGCCATATATCCTTAGCACTGACTCACAGCGACTGGTTTTTTTTTGAGTGTATATCTCTTACCACTGTGCAGAATCAACTCATCCGCATAAATAACTACGGGATAGCGCCTATTTTATGGGAAAATCAGTTCCAACAGAAGCTCATATTTTTAATGGCCAATTATTAAATGAAATTTGAAGGCACATCGTCAGCAAAAATATACACGCACACTCACTCATATACGCACAAAAGACCGAATTCATTGCGCTGTGATTTTATAGCGACGCCGAAAAAATGCCGTATATTATCGAAATGATCGGATGACATCGCAAATCATCAAAATTATTTAATTACAATATATGAATGTTGCTTTCAAAAGGCCAAGAAGTTTACGATGATGGTGATTTTAAATTTTATTCATTCTGTTTGTTATTTATACGAAACACTTCAATAATCGGTTCGGACAAAGAAAAAATACAATTTACATGCCAACAGATAAGTTGGCAAAAAACGTGATATTGAAACTGTGAGATGGCCAAACCACGCGAACGTGATGCCTTTTAACAAAGTAATGGGTTAAAGTAATGGGATCAACCAAGTCGTTGGTCTCCATTTTATTATCGAATGCTTTATCAATCGATGCTAGAAATTGCAAATTTCTTTCCACATTTTGTGTAAAACAGGAACAAAAAACGCGTCACCACACTTAAGTTCAATGTGTCAAAAAGTAAAACGGTATCTCAGATGCTGATTACAATATTCATCACGTGTGGACGGGTACTATAGTCGGAGCACGACGAAACCCAACCGCTTCACACACTTTTATAGTGTTCTTTTTATTATTTCGGTTCTTTGTTTTATTTTTGTTATGTTCCATAATAATACAAGTGCGCCTTATTCGCGGGACGAGTCAACGAGAGTTGAAAGGGCGGGAGAGAGATGGCATGGGTTTGACAACAGTTTAATTGTAATGACAATGGAAATGCGTGCGCATTTTTTAATGTTGTTTTAATAACATTTTAATTTTAATCGTCTTCTTCTTTTTCTTCTTCTTCTTCTTCTTCTTCAGTGTGCAATTTATTTTTATCTGAATGACGCAGTTTTATTGAGCAAAATGAAGAGTCTTTCGTGGAAGCACACGTGAAACAGATAAAGAAATTGAAACCCGTGTGTTGTGCAAGTGGTTTACTCTGTTAACCAGATTCAAATTGTATTTTGACAGTCAAAAATCGTTGAATCGGACTGAAACCGCTGCCAAAAACAACAAAATGTGATCCGCTCTGGCTTCACTTGAGGCTGACGCGATTCCGTAATGGTTTTATTTTCATTCATAAAACAACAACCAACATTACATTTGCTCGGCCTGTATTTCGATCAAACGGATTTCGGTAACCACAAACTGCCGCCGCGTTTAAGGTGGTCAAATAAATCTAATGATGTTTCAGGTTTGCTGTGAAACGAAATTAGTCAATAAAAATATGTTTCTACGGAAGCTATAAATGGGCTTTGCCTCATAAAAAAAAAACAAACAATTTTATTTTTAAATATGTTTCATGCAATGCAAATGATACGATAATCATAACTATTTAGAGTGTAGTTATTTTTACCCGAAATTGGGTGAGTTCAGATCAATTAGCATTGCTGTATTTACATTCAAAAACATTTTCAGACTGTATCATATCACAAGAGTGTAATTTATTGGTTAGCATCAATTAGAAGTGGTGATCGACAACAAGTGCGTATCGTAGCGCTCCATACATCGCTGCCTTTTTACATTCAATACCCATGCATTGAATATACGCGCTATCATTCGCTTAGTTTGTCTGTCTTTTTTCTCTCCTTCTGCTGCTGCCTGCCGTATGTATCGTTTTCGCTTTGCTCTGCTCTGTATACCGATGTGGAATTGAGTCATGAACAAGTGTGTTTGTATCACTTGTGTGCTTTGCCAAATGTGGAGCAAGAATTATCAGTATGTGTCTATTATATAATTGTAATAATAATATGATTGAATTATGGGTTGGCAAGAGGTAGGCAACATTCGATGCGATCAGTCAATCAGTACGCGCGCGCGTTCAGTGTCAATGAGACTCAGTAGCCACCCGTTCTGGTTGTGTGACATGTGATTTTCATTATGAACATAATCTGACGGTGCACTAAATGCTGCGTGCACACTTTATGTGAAGAACGAAAGACCAGAAAAAAAGGAGTGAGCGCGCGCGCCCGCCCGTAAAGGTTAAAAAGATAGTGGCACACGATTTGCGATTGATTACATTCATTATTTAATCGGACGTCGGACCGTTTGCCAAGAAGTGCGTGTTTTAATTTTCGGCTTCAGTTGATGGAAGACTTGTCTTTGACGACGGTCATCAAATAAAATCGCAGAGCAACGATCACCGATAGCAGCTATCGGACATTAGCATTTTTAAACAGTCAAGTAAGTCATCATCATTTAAATATTCAAAAGGCAAAGCATCGCTTGAAAATTTGCAAGAAATTCCGTTTATGCAAATGTGACGCGCCTCAATGGGCTTGAAGTCTGCAAATTTATCTAAATCTATGTTGAAGAATTTTAAGTGAAATAAAGCGAGCGGTGTCGCATAGAGAACGCAGAGAAAAAGACCAAAGTACAAACAAAAACCGCAGTTGATTTATGGAAAACGAGTATTGAATGCACGGTGCGTCATCGTTTGAAAGGACAAATCGTTGACATCAATGAGTGCAGTTACCGTTCAATGTGTGCTACGATAACATGTTTTCCATGAATTTATCGAAAGCACGACGATAAAAGAAGAAAATAAGACGCAGCAGAATTAAATTCAAACTAAAACTTCAATTCAAATGATCATGACGAGCGAATCTCATGCAAATGTGTTTGTCATGCAAACATGATGAAATTGAGTCGCTTGTCTTGTTGAATAAGTTAACGACCAAAATAATTATTTCATATTTCATCACAGAAAAATTCCATTTGCTATTCATCATACTATACACAATCAAATGGCAAGAATACACAGCGCAAACAAAAAGAGTTGAAACAAAAAAATAAAACATTTCGAGAGATCTAAATTTAAGCATATACGTCTGTATCAAATGTCTTGGGCATTTTGGTTATATTTAAGTACAGTGTTTCATTAAATTAACGTTAAAACGGAAAATCATTATGATATGAGCAAAAAAAAAGAACAGATATAAGATATTTGTGTGAGCGCGAGCGCTTATATTCACTATTTTGGAACCGACGACGGCAATGAATATTCAATGAAAAACCAAGGCATGCAACACAGCGCCACTGTCATGTATTCCCGAAACGTATACATGTGTTGATTTAGTATTTAGCTGTCAGTGTCAACGGCACACGCACACACCAAAAGAGAAGAGGAAAAAAAAAAACAAACACAAATGGGAGGAAAAGTCAAAATCAGCTGTAGTCTCCCTACTTTGATTCAATCACAAAACGTGCGATTTTATCGCAAATTTTGCGTTTTTTCATGTTGAAATGATATGCTCGTTTCAAAAACGATAATTCCCTTGAAATTTATCGATATAAAATGACGTTGTTTGCAGTGAAATGTAAAAAAATCAAAGTCAAGTTGATGTCCTCCCTGGTGCTCTACATATGCACATACACATAGAGACATTGCCGTGGTTTTATCAGCGTTTTGCGTATACACAGAATAATTTCTTTTGTCATTTTTTTTATTCATCAATGAACACACGTGCAAATATCATTGCTTTCAAAACATGAATCTCACCAGCAACCTGTTTTCTTTCTCCATTTCAAATCGGTCATTTCTTTCTAAACCCATAATTTTTTCTCATCGAAACCACTTCAATACAGATTCAAATTAATTGTTGGCAATTGTAATTAGTACAATTTTGTGATTAAATCAATTCCATCTGACGGCGACTACGACGACGGCTCCACATTTATTTCATTCAATCCGATGCAGATAGTGTTCATAGTGTAGAATCGTTCGAGGAGAGTTCGATTGGAGAAAGTGGAAAAGACTGAGTAGTAATAAGGTCACACACAACAAGAAAAAAAAAACTATTTTTGATATAGTGATAAAAAGTTTTTGGTTGGTTTCAGTGAAAATCGATTTTTCAAAGGTCAATCTCAAAAACAGACCGATAGAAAGCAAAAAAAAAAATGCGAAAAGATAGCAACAGAATGATATTGTAATAACGGAAGCTCGTTACGAAATATCAGACGTCTGTTTGCAATTTTACTGCCATTTATTTTGCAGTCAGTGTTGGTTTTTCTTTTCCATTCATCTGATCTGAACTGAGTGCGGCACAATTAAAACATATTTGCATTTATCACGCCACACAAAACAAATGTTTATGAAACATAAATATTTCAAAGTGAAAAGTATTTTAACACACGTTTAACGTTTGCATTTTAGTTGTTTTATCTTCCACCGAGAATTCTCACTCTCTTTTTGTGCGGTGTGTTTTGTTCGACTTTAAATTTAGTTCATACGTGCTGTTGAATGGCATAAATTTTAAAACGGAAATTTTTCTTCTGATTCATTTGTAATTTAGCTTGTTTTTTTCTCTTCTTCTTTAAAATTATATTGCAGGTGATAAACGACTACTAGATCCAACATGTCTTCGAATCAATTCGACAAACAGAACAAAGTATCGCGATGGTATTTTGGAGGCTTAGCAAGCAGTGGTGCGGCGTGTTTCACGCATCCATTGGATTTGTTAAAAGTTACGCTACAAACACAGCAAGAAGCTAAGATGACGATATTCCAATTGACGGGTAAAATCGTTCGAGAACGTGGAATTTTTGCTCTCTACAACGGACTATCCGCATCGTTATTGCGACAAGTTACCTACTCAACGACACGTTTTGGTCTATATGAAATGGGAAAACAGGAGTACGGCAATAGTTTCATGGGAAAAGTGATGTTGGCCGGAATTTCAGGTGCTGCTGGAGGTAAATATCGTCCAACTGTTGCCAAATAGCGTCGGCATAATTTTCTTTTCTGAAATAATAATTTTCGTTTCCTTTAGACGATTCAGTTGCTTTGATTTCATTATTATATAATTCATAGCCGGACAGATGAATCACTATAACAAATACACATACAATCAAACCGATGAGAAATGGCTCGAAACTTATCTCGTTTAGCGACAAATACCGCAATTCTATTCCGTAACATCGGTCTTTCTATCATGCGTAATAGGGTTGGTACCATTCGTTTCAGTGAACATGCATCTTCCATCCTTTTGAAACAAAAAAAAAACGAAATTCGAACGAAAACAAAAAAACTTATTGAATTCGTCCTTGTTTTAATCTAATTTTTGAACACGCATGACGTTCATATGGAGCTCGGTGTTTTACTTGCGCTTATCAACATCGACTTAATTCTGAGTACAATCGCGTGATTTGCGAAGAATGCAAATGAAAAGTGGCTAAAAAATTGTTTTTTCTTTAAAGCCCATGTCAAGTACCGAGCACTATATATTCGATCTGAAATGGAAATGTACTTTGTACCGTAGAACATGTATTCATATTATAACGTCTCTGTCGATAATAGTCTCATCACGAGAAATTACTAATGCCCATACTTATAAAGTAATTTGGATAATTAAACGAAATAAAATATGAATCAATTTCGAGTTAGCCTGATTTTGATCGTTGTCAACCATCAATCGCACGACAACGAACTCTTTTGATTCCGAGAAAATTAATACGCTCTCCCTCAATGTTGAATCGTTTTAATAAATACCAAACAAGCCACTGTGTTTTCTCTTCCTCTATTCTGTTGCTTTTTTGTTGCTTCCAAGTTATGAGTTACATGTCGATACGTCAATCTCTTTCGACTTTGCATGCTTTCGAATTTCAAAATTTAAACGGAATTCCGAATTTTGCTAGATACAATAATTAAATATGTGCTATTTATATGATTTGTTTTTGTGTGTGTGTTCATTTACATTATACCTAATACTCCTACATTTCAATAGTATAATATTCGACTTGAAATAATAGTTCGTAATGCAAAAAAAAAAAATACAAACCGTTCAGATATTCTTTTTCCTCTTTCCTCTTTTCCTTTTTACGACTTTGTGTTTGATACCTTAATTTTTATCCAAATTTAAATAAAATATTTCCATTCCCCCGAAGAAAAAAAATTGAACGAATAAAGAAAAGCAACAACGACTATTTTCGGCATTCCAAAAATGATACTGATTTTTTAGTGATTAACGGCATTTGCTGCTGCTTATTTTTTTCTTTCTCCGTTATTTCCAATTGTGCATTGAACATTTTTTGTTTCGTCTGTCTGTTTTTCCCCAAAAATTTAAATAATTATACATGATTTTTTTTTGTCGTTGGAATATTTTAATAGGTTTCGTTGGGACACCAGGTGATATGATAAATGTTCGTATGCAAAACGATGTCAAACTAGCACCGGAACAAAGAAGAAAGTATGTTCAATTGAATTGGTTATTTTCACTTGAAAATGGATATTTATTCATGGATTTCTATTTTTATTTTTAAATCACTCACACACACACACAGTTATAAAAATGCCATAGACGGTTTGCTGCGTGTGAATCGTGAGGAGGGATTCCGGCGCCTGTTTTCAGGCGCAACAACCGCAACGGGCCGAGGTTTAATGATGAATATCGGACAAATTGCCTTCTATGATCAAGTAAAGACAATACTTTTGACAACGGGTTACTTTAAGGATGATCCACGGTTACATTTCCTATCGTCGCTGGCAGCTGGTGGTATTGCAACCGCACTAACACAACCATTGGATGTGATCAAGACACGCAGTATGAATGCAAAGCCTGGTGAATTTAACGGTTTGCTCGGCATTATTGCGCACACCGCTAAACTCGGACCGATGGGCTTCTTCAAGGGTTTCGTACCAGCATTTGTGCGCCTTGCTCCGCACACAGTTTTACTATTTATTATATTGGAACAATTGCGGTTAAATTTCGGTACCTATCCATCCATTCCAAATGTAACCACTCAAAAACTTCAAGCATGATCAATACAATATGACGGTGATGAATGAAACGCTGAACAATAATATTTTTTAAATGATGATAATGATAAACAAAGGGATAAAATAATGATGAAGATATGATAATAATAAAAATAACTTTTTTTTGCTCCTCGGTGCTTGTGTGTACATAATATATCTGTGTAAATATGTGTTTTTAAACGAACATTTTAAATTGTTCACAATTGTTAAATGTAATAATGCTCTTTTTCTTTTGATTTGAGGAAGATATTGAGCTTGATTGTTGAGAATGTTTGCAGTTACTCGTTTACTTTATAATTTTTGTTGTTGTATGAAAGTTATATCTATTTACTCTTATATGTATTCAAGATTGAAAAAAGAAAAGAAAAGAAATAAGCTAAACAAAGATTTTCTTTGTTGTATTACAATAAAAATACTTGATGTATTTATTTTAAAGCCTAATGAAAGATAGAAAAAAAAACACCGCAGAAACAGAATTCAAATATGAAACTAAATAAAGAAGAATGAATTTAACGAAAATGGAAGTCGACTATGTAGTTTATTGTTCTTCCTGCAGCGATTTATTATTAGTGATTTCAGCATTTTGTTTCTAAGTCACATTGTTCGCCGCTGTTGCTGCTGCTAATGAAACCGACTAAATTTTTTTTAAATATTCTACGTTTTCGTAACATTTCCCCATTCGATTGAAATAAAAGTTCGTTTGCACAACATGGCTTTGGCGCACAAGTGCATTGTGTTCACCAAAAATATGTTTTTGGATTTCGCCTAAACGGCTCAAATGCCCATATTCGGCAAATTGATTAACAAAATCATGCAATTTATGTTCCTTTGTTGTGTTCGCTTTGCTAATCGGTTCGGATAAAGTTTTTTAATTCAAATTTATGCCCATTTTTTCTCCTTCGTTCGGCGTGTGCTATTTGAATCGTCGGTGGTTTTTTGTTCCGAAAAAGAGCGCCGTCTACAATAAATGGAGAAAAACTATAAAACCGGTTTGGAGTATGCGCGAAGTTTTTTTCTTCTTTCTTCTTCTTCGTTGTGTTGTTGGTGTCTCACACTTGCTGTATTCGCGTAGAATGACTTTGTTTTGCTATATTTGGCATTCATATTACGAAAATGTTGTGAAAAGTTCGCAACACCATTGAATATGTGGTGAGCGAGTGAGATCCGTGTGCCTATTGTGTGCTACAACACACATGCTTACGATGAAGGCATGAAATGTGTTGTTGCTGTTGTCGAGTGTTGTATATAAACACAAGACCTCTTTGGTTGGCTGCTGCTACTGCTGTGCTGTTCTGTGCTGTACTGCTGCTGCCGCTGCTGCTGCTGCCGTTGCTGCTAACACACAGAGATAGAGAGACTGAAAGAGCGCGCACTATGCTGTACTCCGCTGTGTACCAATGCACGCGAGCAAGCAGACAAGTGACGAGAATATGACCATCATCATCATCAACAACACAACCAACACACAAACTACATTCAAATGCACACAACACAAACACTGAAGAAATGCTTCAACATACAAACGTCAAACTGTGTATTGTATTGAAACAAAGGTAATGGCAATCAGAGGAGAATGTCAAATCATACCAAAAAAAAAGTATACAGAGCTACAAGCAAGATTTGTCGATCCACGTCAAATAAATGATTTCTCATTCTCAGTAATAGAAATCTCATTTTGTTTTCTTGTTGCTCCCTCGAACACGAAGACGGAGTGAGAGAATTTAAAGAAGAAAAAAAAACTAAAACCACATAAACTCCAAACGCATTACAAATTTTCGCATTTTTTCGCATTATTTTCAGTTTTGTTTTCGATATTAGATGCTTTATTTTTCAATTCGTTTTATATGTTTGATTCTTTTTGTTTTTTCGTTCAAAGTGTTGCGATCAAATTCAATTTCTGTGATTTAAGAATTCACTCCAATGTAGTCAATAAGTTGATATATATAGTAAAATCTCACGGATAAATATTCACGATATATACAAATACACATGCAGCCGTAGCAGCAGCAGCAGCAGCAGCAAAGTGAACACAATTTAAATAAGGAAAATCATGAAATTCGAGTGATCAAAAATCAATGTGAAGCAACAAAGAAAGCGAAAATTGTTGTTCTTTTCGTCAAAGTTGTAACAACAACAAAAAATATCTTATAAGTTTTTGTGTTTGCATTTCTCTGTGTGTGTTCATTGCGCTCATACACATTTGTTTTTTCTCTGTTATTCATCATTGCGAACCGTTTTTGGAAAAAGTTCGTCTCTTTGTTTCGCGTCGCGGAGTTTAGTCACAAACAGCAAGATATTGTAATGTGTTGATTGAAATCTTTGTTGGTTGTCTTTCATCCAAAGATTCGCATTCGAAAACAACCACTTCAGTTATGGTTTGGTAAAATAGAATAAAAGTCAATTTCTAATCGGTGAGAGCCAGTGAATAATCATAATAACGCGGAAAACAAACGCAGCACCAACGACAGTAGCAAAACAGCAATCTTTCTATTATGTAGTGGATTTACGAGGGAAAAAAAGCGAGAAAAGATAAATATTTTCGTCAATTTGAATGGAATACACAACGAAATTTATGTCATTTGTAACGAATTCCAAATGGATTGAGTGGAACGCAAAGTACATTGAAAGTCGCAGGAAAAAATCAATGTTTCAATAGTGATGTGATATTAAAGTAGTATAATGAGTTGGATACTTATTGGGGTGATTCTCACCTTGGCGCACACAAGTCGACACAGATCTACATTTGATAGGATTATTAACACAAACGGACTAGTTATTGATGCATCACCAGTTCCACCAAACGGTAATACAATTTGCTTTTTTTTCTCTCTATTCTTTTTCTTTCCAAACCACGATGAAATTTCCATTGTTATTGTTGTTGGTAGTATGACCAAGCGAAGAAAACAAACAACAGAACCGAAAAACCGATTATTTACCACAAAAATGCATTAGTTCATTCAACTTGTGTGTGTGTGTGTTTGTGTTTTGTTTGATATTGATGTGATTTCACGTCCTATTTATCCGTTTAATTTCGTTTCGTTTGGCAGCTCCATTCTTAAAACCAATCAATCCATACATTAAACACTGGGAAGCAGCGCATTTCGATGCGAAAATAATCGCAGCTGCACGGCATCAACACGAAATCCGAAGACGAAAACGACATGCCAACAGCACAATAGCACATGATGCCGCAACAACAACAACACCAGCACCAGCAGCATCTTCAGTCAACACCATAAAATTTCAATTTTTTGCCCATAACAGGTAAGCAGCGCGAGGTTAAACTAGATATAGAGAAGAATGGTGAAATTCAAGCGCACAATCCAAAAAAAAAATCATTTGTGTCGATTAATTATCGCGTTGAAATTGTGTGATCTGTGAAGCGAACGAGGCCTGAACAAATAAGAATGAGTGTATGATTATTTTCTCTCTTTCTCTGTATGCTGCTTGATTGTAGGGAGTTCCGAGTGTTGCTACGTGAAGATCCCAATTCAATATTTTCACCAAATGTCGAAATTGAAAATACCGATGGACCGATACGTTACGATGTATCGCGCGTATATTCAGGAACCTTGGAAGGTAATTTCAGAAAAGAAAAAATGGTCGATTTTGCCAAAATCAAATTTTGTTTACCAAAAAACCCATGCTAATTTTCATTTCATAACAGACCATGATGATAGCATCGTTCACGGCATTTTGACGGAGAATAATTTATTTGACGGATCTATTATAACACCAACCGAAAACTATTACATAGAACCAGCATCCAGGTATTCCAATGAACTGATCGACAATGGAATACACACAATTGTATATAAAATAAGCGATGTACACATGTTACCGCACCAAAAACCATCATCCACTGATCCAACGACGGCAAAGCACTACTGTGCCAGCCAGCGACTCCACAAGAAAATGAAAATGCGCAACAAAAAGCAGCAACTCTATGATGCACTGGACATAGAATTAAGTGATAAAAATACAATTAACAAACCCGTTCCAAGTAAACACTCATCGCGTAGCAAACGATGGTTAGCGGATGAGGTGAGTCATAGCGAGCGAGAGCGCGTGCACACCTACTTTCTACCATTTCTTTCAAATTGGTGAAATTTCACAACTAACTTTTTATACACCCAACCAATTTGCGTTCATTCAATTTTGTTTTGTTTTTTTTTCGATTTCAATTTCAGTTACTTGAGAGCCGTGATCCTCCATTGCCCATAGATTTAGATGCACCGTACAACGATGAATTTACCGTTTTCAGTCGAAAATATAACAAAGATCATAACACTGCCAAAACGGACGAACCATGGAGGAATATTTTAATTACCAGCTACAATGCGAAAAATGATTACGCTTCGAGAAATCTGTCGAAAAACCATCCGAATGCCACCGCCGGAAGTGGCGGTGAGGAGAGAGGCCAGTTTCGAGAACCCACTCGCATTTTGAATGCAACATATTCGAGGCCAAGCCATAAAACGCACGTCGAAATCATTACGAAAAATGGTGCTACGAGAAAGCCAAACATCATTGGCAGCAACTATAATCCGGAAATGATATTGACCCGCAACAACTTCCATCATCATCAGCACCATTCGAATATCAACAATAACATTCATTCGAATAGTATTGATGCCAAATCCACGTATGACCGCAAAAGTACATGCATGCTATACTTGCAAGCCGATCACACGTTCTTCGAAAAACTCGGATCGGAGGAGGCAAGCATCGAAGCAATTACACGGCATGTGCAACGTGCCAATACAATTTATAAAAACACAGGTACGGAGGTAGACATATATACACACACACTCATAATCTTATCTACTTAGCTATCAAGCAACCTAGCTGACAATGCAAAAATCGTGTGCCACACCATAACGTCCTTGACTCATTTTACAATCGATGATTTATTGCTGATTTTGTTTTTCATTTTCTACTTTCGACAACAGATTTTAATGGAGATGGCAAGGCTGATAATATAACATTCATGATTAAGCGAATAAAAATACACACATCGAATGCCTTAAAAGACACCAATTATCGTTTCCCGGGAAATTATGGTGTCGAAAAGTTTCTAGAGTTATTTTCCGGTAATTGAAACAAAATTGAATGCTGTCGGAAAACTCTTATCGTAATTATTTCTGAAATGCATCACTCACGGTTGTTGTTTCTCTCTCTCTCTCTCTCTCCCTCTCTCCCTCCCTCTCATTCGCACTCTATAAAACACAGAGGAAGACTACGATGCATTTTGTTTAGCCTACATGTTTACATATCGAGACTTCGAAATGGGTACGCTTGGCTTAGCATGGACAGGTGACTTGAAAAATGCTGGCGGTGTCTGTGAAAAGAATGGCGTAAGATTTGCTGATAAATTTCCTAATTTGGATATAACTTTTTCAATGTTTATTTCTGTTTATTTCCAACATTTTTAGCACTATCGAGGTTCATTAAAATCGCTCAACACTGGCATTGTAACACTTTTGAACTATGGCAAACACGTACCACCCGCTGTATCGCACGTTACTTTAGCGCATGAAATTGGTCATAATTTCGGCTCACCGGTAAGACTTTGTTCTTTTATGTCATTTTGGCACATTTTTCTGTGTTGATTTCCAATGAGATTTTTCAATTGCGTTGTTCAAAATTTTGACTAATTTTCCATATAGCATGATCCAGAGCTATGTACACCGGGCGGTGAAGATGGCAACTTTATAATGTTTGCCAGAGCAACATCCGGAGATAAAAAGAACAATAACAAGTTTTCACCATGTTCATTGAAAGCAATCGAACCAGTGCTCAATTCCAAAGCACGCTCCAGCAAAGGTTGCTTCACAGGTAATGATTTTGTTCAGTGCTTGTTTTATTATTTTGTTTCAAATAATTCATTCAATTTTTTTTCTTCATAACGAATAGAACCTCAACAAGCGATTTGTGGCAATGGTGTTGTCGATCCGGGTGAAGAGTGTGACTGCGGTTGGGAAGAGGACTGTAAGGATTCCTGTTGCTATCCAATGTCAACGAACCCAAGCATCGATGAGAAACCATGCACATTAACACCAAGAGCATACTGTAGCCCATCGCAAGGGCCGTGCTGCACCACATCGTGTACGCTGAAATTCGGTGATAAATGCCGTGACGACAATGGTTGTCGCGATCCAAGCTTCTGCAATGGACAAACAGCCCATTGTCCACCATCGGTGAACAAACCCAATAAAACGATTTGCAATAAAGAGTTTGTTTGCTTCATGGGCGAATGCACCGGTTCAATTTGTTTGGCCTATGGCTTGGAATCGTGCCAATGCATTCCAACGGCCAATGATCCAAAGACAAAAGCCTGTGAACTCTGCTGTAAATTACCCGGCGAAGGGAATCCGTGCAAAAGCTCATTCGAATGGAATGATAAACCATACGATGTACCTGATATGTATTCGAAGCCAGGGACTCCGTGCAATGATTATAATGGGTAAGTGATGGGTGAATTGAAATGGATTTTTTTCAGAAGAAGATGAAATTTAATGCTATGGATTTATTTGCAGTTATTGTGACGTCTTCCAAAAATGTCGAGAGGTTGATCCAGCTGGGCCATTGGCTACACTGCGCCGACTTTTGTTATCCGAAGAGTCAATTGAATCGTTCAAAAAATGGGTTATGTCCAATTGGTTCGTGGTTGCACTCATAATCAGCGGCATTATTTCATTATTGGTATGTAGCATTTTGAAGAACATCATCAAGACAAAGTTATTAGCTTTGGAATCGTATCAAGTTCAACATAATTTATTTCGAAAAAACAGATTTTGAGTACGAGACTATTCGGAAAGGAAATCAATCGTAAGTCGAAATCAGTGACGATAATCCATAGCGCGACCACAGAAACAGTTCGACTGCCTGATGATAGCAATGGGGTGAGTAACCGATTGGAAAAGAGATTATTCGGCTATTTCTTGTTGATTTTATTGCCATTGTCAAATTCATCTAATTTTTTCTCTTATTTGTGAATTCCCATACAAACTAAAGGTAATCGTGCACGCTGCGATCCGAACGAAGGTTCCGCTGAAGAAAAAGGTGCGTGGCGAGCGCAGCAAAACGAAGCGGTCGTCCGCTTTAAAGAATGCAGAAAGTTCCTCTAAAAATGTCGAAAAGGCAGCCACCACTGCCGGTGGGGTGGCCGCAGCAGTAGCAGTGCCCACAACTTGTAATTCAAAGAGTAAAACACTCAAGAGTTCCATTGAAAAGCACACAAAGAAGATACGGAGTCGAAAGACAACCGATGGTACACGTACCGAAAGAAAGATATCGAAAAATCCGCTGGCTTCCACCATGGCAAAGGTGAAAAGTTCGAGATCAAAATCGAAATCAGCGTCAAAAGCAAAGGAAATGTTAAACTATAGCCAGCGTGCATCTGCCGATGAAGATAAACTGAATGCATTCGGCAAAGTGCAACAATGGCTACTCGATTCGCCGACGCAAGCAACGTCAGCGCTTCAAGAATTAGATCAATTAGATAAAAGCCGACCAATGTGCAAATCCCAATCGCAAACGCATAATCTAAGCTCAACGCAAGGTTCACCGAAAAAGGTGAAATCACTGAGTAATTTACAAGAGAAGGTGAAACTGCAAGTTGTTTATAAGCCACCATTTAAGTTAAGTCTAAAGCTATCGAAAAATTCGGCTGTGCAAACGAGACCCGTGGCCACCGCAAATCCTGCTGAAGCGTCACGAAATCGGCGGGCCGGACGTGTTGACAAAGCTCGCAAATCGACCGGTATGACGGAGAAGAAAAAACCGCGAACAGCATTGTTGCTACAGTCGAAGAGTGGGCGGGATGTGGACGATCATGGTTTTCGATTGAAATCAAATCATCGTCGAACCGAAGATCGGCAACAATTGATGCCGGCCGCCGAACGCAAGCAAGACACGCTTGAACTGAAAGCCGAACAACAATCCAATAGTGGTTCGAACAGTAACGGCAGAGGTGCAATAAATGATGAAAAGAATGCCAGTGGCAAACTCATCGAAACAACAAATCCAGTGAATACCGATACATTTAAAATCAGTAAAACGTCCAGTGGAACCAAGCTTTTATCGAATAGCAGCAGTGCGCTGAATGAAATCGATAATCCACCATCGCTAAGCATGGGCAGTGGTGGTGGTGGTGGTGAAAAAAGTAAAACATCGAATGTCGGCCATCGGAACAGCTTTATAAATAATATCCGTAATAGTGGCACCGATTATATGGCATCATCGTATGCACCAAATCGAATGTCAAGTACATCGAATTTATCGAAAAATGATTTGCACAAAATCACCCGGTCTAGTACAACGAATCTGTCGAAGAATCAATCGCAGCGCAATAGTTACGATGTGAAACCGTACAATTTTCACGACGTAAACCGTAGCAATAGTACGCATAATTTTAGTAAAGATCGTCTCAGTGAAGCATTGCATTCAAATTTGCTAAAACAACCATCGCACACACGAAGTTCCAAAACTAATTTAAATAACAGCGAAAATGGTTCACTGCCATCGTCAGCCGGTTCCTCTACCTCATCAACGAATACGAATACGAATTCGACCACAAATATGAATGCAATAGATCCGTAAATCGTACCGATTGAACGTGACGAATGTTCCAAATAAAGAAAAAAGAAGAAAAACTAACGAACTACACGCAGAGGAAAACAAAGTGAAGAAAAACGCAACATTACACAAACACGAACACAGACACAAAAATAATAACTAGAACTAATCTCAATGTCTTTTGGTTAAGAGAAACCCCTGATACTGTTCTCGTTTCTTTATTATTATTTTTTCGTTCTTCTTTCGTTTGTTTGTTGTTGTTATTGCTGTGTAGAGATGTCGATCTATATTTTGTACTTAACGGATATACGCTTTATTGTAAGGTCGCAAACATTCGATTGGATTCGCATTGCGAGCGATATACAGATATATAAATTCCTCTTCATTTCAACGCTTGGCTTGTTCTCTTGTTTTGTGTTTGCTTAACAGAAAAGAAGAAGAAGAAGTAGTAGATGAAAAAATGATCGATTTTTCTTTATTTTATAATTAGCGTGAGTATTCTATTATACAGGTATAACCTTTTGCATCAGCGCTTCCAGAATGTATTATTAACAATCACCGAATACAATCACCAACGAGAAAAAAAAATCCGATTATTTTTTAATTTAAATGTAAATTTTCAAACGAAAAACACTAACTAACGAACAACAAATTATTAACACAAAGAAATTTAGCTAAAGAAACGAACAAAAAAATGAAAAGAAATTAATAATGATATTAATTGAGATGTGTGCAGGAGATAGAGAGTCCGGTTGCTTCGATACCCTTTATTTTTTACTCACTTTCAGAAAAGAAAACAAAGAAAAAAAAACAGCAATATCATATTGTATATGGGCAACCGTGCTTAAATTAACTTTGCAATGAATCTCCCAAGATACAAAAAGGAAATGAACAAAAAAATGCTTTCAAAAAAATGTGGTTTTAAAGATTACGCATTTCGATTCTTTTAACGATTTAATAACAAACTAACAATAACATAAAACTAGACATTTCAACAACATTTGATTATGCTAAAGCATTTGCAGCTGCCGGCCAAAATTCAAACAACGAGCTGGATCTCATTAAATGGAAACAAAAAAAACACTACTATATTATAGACTTAATCCATGATTCACAGCGATCAACGTGTATTTCAAACCGAATATAAGACACACACTGACTCACCCATTTAACTAGCATAATTCAAAGCTGTTGTGACAACTCCTATGCTAAAAACAAAATATCCGTTAATATTTTTGATATTCTTCTTAGTGAAAAAACGAAACAACAAAGCAGAAAAAATATGGAAATATTCTCAATAACAAAGAAAAAAGAAAGAAATACGACACGAAGATTGCAAACAGTGAGATCGAAATTAACCAATGAGTATTATTTTGAAAAAATGATGTAAACTAATCTGTATTATTTATTCTCTAATTAAACTAATTTAGGCGAAAAATTTAAAAGAAAAAGAAATGGTCAATAAACTAAAACAAAACAATTTTGAAGAAATGAAGAAAAACCTTTAGTTGTGAGAGTACACACAAAGTACACATTCAATTGATTGCATATCCAATTTTTAGACAATTAAGTGACAAAATAACAAAAGATACACACAAACAATTTCATCAAATTTATCATGTCAGTGAGAGACGTAGAAGGAGATGATGACAGATGTTATTAACAAACGAAGAAGAAGAAGATTAATCTTTAATTTTACTTGATGAATTTTTAATGTGAATGCAAGTTTAATGATTTAAATTTATTTTACTAATATTATCAACTATCGACCAAAATTTCCACGCAAATTACGGGTCAGTGGTTTTAGAAAAGAATGAAAACAGAAACAAAAAGTTCTATTATTATATTATAATTATATTATGATTGTATGAACAAAATGAAAAACACAAAATAAAATTTCCTTTTTTGGTAAAATCGTGAAAAAAGAAGCAAATTATCGTTTTTAGTGTGACTTTTTTTCACATTTAATCAGTTGTTTCATCGGAAATGTTGACGTCCGGTGTACAATACAAATAAAGATATGATGAGGAGGGGGGAGGGGGGATTATAGACACATGATTTGTATCGCCATTCAATAGATTTATTTTTTAAAAGGTCGGAAAATTGAATGCGTGACCTATTTAAATGAAGATTACATGTTACATGTTACAAGTAAACTTATTTCTTTTTTACTTAATTAACTTTTTTTCCTTCCGTAACTAAAAAACAAATTTATTTACATTTAGCTTCTTCATTGTGTGTGTATTTTTTTTCTTTCTTTTCTCTTACATGCATTTCATAATTATTATATTCTTTTGTTTTTCTCTTCAAAGTCGGCTTTGTGAACTTAATGTAAATTATCTCGTCGAAATGATTTTGCTTCGTACGTGTTCTTTGACTGAATCCTCCCGACAATATCGATTACGTCGGATTTGGTGAATGAGTTGGATCAAAATTTAAAAAAAAAATATAAATGTGTGTGGACTTGTGTTGAATGTTCTACGATTATTCTGAGCATGGAATCTAGTCGCTCCTAAATGGATGAAAAGTGAGTGAATAATTTGTCATTATAAATTGATGTTTTTTTCTTTTAAAGTTTTGTTTAAAAAGTGAAAAAAAAAGAATGCTTACTCTCTATGTAAGAGCACATACAACGCTAGGATACCCAGAATGGCATACTGAAAAAAGCAGACAAAATGTGATTAATTATTAATGAAAAATCGATTGGGATGCTTGTCGGATTTCTCGAATTCAAAGCACTCTACAACCAATATGGATCTGCCCAAAGTCATAAACTAAACGTGTAAAACGCCTAACGCTTCACATAGCCTTTGTACATTAGGGAACGTTTACAAAAGGTTATTTCGGGCCATCTTAGTTGTATGACATGTGTTTCGTTTTCAAGTGAATTCCATCAATTAAAACAAAAAATAAAATAAATAGACATTTCTTTTGATTCATATGATGATGTGTCACCTTTTGCTGTTGAATCGAAGCAAATGTATTTTACTTTTCGTTCTTCTGAAACAGAAAAATCCCCTTTTTCCTTACCTTAAAGTTTGGATATTCGTTCATGTATATCGTTATCATTCCGACATACGGCAAGACACCTCTAGCTCGACCGACAATGTCGTTCTTTGTGAGCCACAATTGGCCTGGAGCATACAACCCTCTGTCATCGACCGAGTTGTTGTCGCCTTTCGTCAGGAATTTGACAGTGCCATTTTCTCTGCGATAAGGGAAACATAATCATTTAATCAGTATAAACGTGTCAACGAAAAAGGTCAAGCAATGAAAAATTGTGGAAAAATCTGGTTGAAAAACCGCTGTTGCCTACTTTTCGTGCAATTTAATGACTCGATGTACGATGGGAATGTCTCGGCCTTCCACTTTGAACACAACAATATCACCGACGCGTACTGGTTCCTCGCGGAAATTGGTTAAGAACAACAGATCACCACGATGGAATGCCGGTTCCATGCTGCCACTTAATACGACCACAATTGGTGATTCACTTCCCGTAACAACCATCAATCCCTTCCAGATCATCAACGCTGACGAAACAATCATACCAAAACTAAGGAATTGATACAGATGCTATAACGAAAGGAGGGAGATAGAATCGTTGGTTTGCAAATGATATTGTCAATTTATTCCGCAGTCGAGAAAAGACGAGAAAAAAAATCACTTACTTGTCGTTTATCCATACGTTGAACATCTTTAAATAAAGAGCTCACACTCAGTTGCTCAAAAACACCCATGATTTTCTGATAAAAAATGCCTTTATTCCGTTTCTCGAGCGACAAAAACCTATCGGGCCAGATGATGTGTTATTCTTATGTTGTTTGCGGTACCGATTTGCTGACGAAAGTATATTGCATACTTTTACAATACAATGTTTCATTTGGGCATTTACCACGTCAGAAATGTTGCATTGTGAAGTGTCAAATTGTGTCAATAGGCAATATGGCGGACAAGTAACGTAACAGTGTTTTTTTGTCTTTCGTTTAGTACAGTGAACTAAAACCATTCAAATATTCCGTTAATTATAAGAAAATCAGAAAATTTCTATCAAAATTTGCTTTTTTCTTGGGTAGTTTTTAATTTCAGATTCAGTTTTAAATGATGAAAATAAATTTTTCTTCACTTTTACTCCGAATCTCATTGCTTAGATTGAAAAAAAAAGTTCGAGACATTTTTAGACCAAGACAATTCATTCTATCTATAGGGAGGATCAATGGGCCAAAAAAAAGATATATACACAAAAAGCGTGACACTTGACATTGTCATTGAAAAAGCCGCATGAAAACAAAACCGATTTATTTTGGTCGCGAACATTTGAATGTAAATTAGATTCGGGTAAACAACTGTTGTTAAAATGGAATTGGATCGTGGAAGGTATGATATGGTGTGTGAACAGCTGAAACATTGTTTGCTCCCAGAGCTTGACCGTGATATTGGCGATGAACCATTGGTGAAAGAGGATTTCGGAATTTTTCGATATGGTCTTGAAATGAATCTACAGCTTTTATTCGATGTCATCGCAAAGAAAGAACGAATTCTACTCGAACCATTCAAGGAGGACAACACATTCCGCATTCATTTTGTGTTGTTTTTACAACAACAGTCTGGCTATGATGAAGCACCATTTCAGACAGACAACGAATCGATTTCGAAACAAATCCGATTCTTGACCGATAAATACTACAAGAAAGTCGCATCAGAGCCAACCATTCGGAATGAATGCTTGAAGTATTACAAAGAAAAATTAACAGCGAACAAATGGAAACGAAACATCGGAGCGGTCTACGGCTTTCTTCAAATGGTTAAGGTAACAATGTTTGCTTTGTTGATGGCTTTTCACTTCTTTTCATGATATTTTTAACTTTGACAGTTGCATCAACGATTGATCCAAACCAAATTCACTTCGGACGATTGTTTGTTCATGCTATCGGTTGGAATGCACCTGGTGGAATATTTTGAGCCGGTCTACAAGAAATTCGGAATCATCATATTCAACATTTTATTGGAATACGGGGTAAAGAACATATTTTTACAACAAATTCACTCTTTCACGTCTTAAAAGCGATTTACTTAACACCATCTATTCACATTTCCCTTCAGAACTCTTCTGACTTACAGAAATTGAACCTATATCAAGTGATATCGAAAAAGTTGATGCAGCCGCTAATTCAGAACATGACCGACGAGGAAGGTACTGTGTTAGTGTTGAGCTGTGTGTACAAATGTATCGAGTCGTTTGAAGGATGGCGCGATCCATCCATGTGGAATGAAGTGGATGACGTTCTGGAAATAATCATGGATCGAATTCCAATCGAAACGGATAATCGTTGTACTGCTATCCTCTTTATGTTTGTATGCAGTGTCACGACATTACCAATGGAAAAACCACGAATCTTCAGTAGCCTCACAGATATTGAGCATTTGGATCAAGTCATTGCTACGTGCGTAAAACCAGCTGGAGAAAAACTGGAAATATTCAGTCAGTTGAGAGACATTTTCAGTTCACATCATAATCTTCTGATTGGTCGTTGGTCAAAACGACTCCTAAGAATGTTCAAAGATCGAGACGTAATCGGAAAAGCAGAGGAAATTCGATTCATGCTATTCGTAAGGCACCAAACAATTCGCGATTAAAACTGTGGTTGAGTTATACGATGTCTCTTCTTCTTATTCAGATTATGCATATTGTTTACATATGCGCGTTCTACGGCAGTCCATGGTTCATGGGAATGAAATGGCAAGAATCACTTCATGAACTCATCAGTAACTTCATGAAATTGGTCGCACATAACGTCTATCGTGATGTGTTCATGGATGTATGTTCTTATTTGCTATGGCTCGAGTTTGTTTTGATGTTGTATTTTTAATTTTTCAATATTTTATTCAAGGAAATTTACGCATTTTTGGACACGATTAAGCTTCATTTGGAAACGGCAGAAAGAACAGTGGATGCCTTCCAAGAGGCGGATGAAGAACACGTCACCAATTTGATAAAATCCATTCACGATCTCATTCCGGAACTGAAAAAGTTCTGTATCAGTGCAAAGGAAGCCGATGAAAAGGAACGACAATCCCGAAAGTCAGAATTCGCATCCGATAGACCAGAATTACCCGAAGACAAATGGAATTTAGACAGCGATGACTGAAAATTGAATCAATGCAAAAATACTGTGTTTCCAAAGTGAAATGTAAAACTCACGACATTTTTATTTGGCATATGAAATAAACGTTTATTTACGCATAACATTTTTATTTTGTTTAACATAATAAAAATAAACGGAATGAATGCTCAAAACATGGCTTTCGTTGTTATTTAACTGTCTGAATAATAAAAAAATGTGTTATTTTTTGTATCAACAAAAATCGTTAGTAATGCGTTGGATTAAATGACTTACATACCTAGCAAATAGAGTGGAAAAAAACAGAAAAAATATTTAAATGGAAGAAAGTAAACAAAACCAAACGCTTAGATTATTATTTGTGCCGTCGTGTTCGTGTTGAAATTCGCGGTGTGCTGGTTGACGCTTCGGTGTCATTCGATTCAGCCGCTTTCTTGGTTTTTCTTGGCTTCTTCTCAGCTACGGTCTCTTTGGCGCTCGATTCCACTTCGGGTTCGGGTTCGAGATCCTTTGCTTTTTTAGTATTTCGTGATCGTTTTGGCTGCTCCTTTTCCTTTTCCGCTTCTACTACAACTACTTCAGTGTCAGCTTTGCGTGTACGTTTGCCTCTGGCCTTTGGTGGCTCTTTCGTCGACACTTTTTCTTCCTCGACTGTTTCTTGTTTTGCCGGTTCTTCAGACGAAGCCATTGCGATGTTTTCCTCTGACTTTGAAACAGTTCGGCCTCTTTCCGCTCGTTTTTTCGGTGCTGGTTTGGGTGCCTCAGTCGTTTCTGTTTCAGTACTTTCAACAATAACGACCTTCTTCGGTCGACCGCGTCTCGGCTTTTTCTCAACTGGTTGTTCGACTGATTCTTCTTCGGTCAAATCTACAACGGGCTCAACCACAACAACTGGCTCAATAACAATAACCGGCTCAACGATAACAGTCGGTTTTCCTTGAGCTTGGCTAGCTTTGCGTCCTCTTTTAGCCGGTGGCTTGGCTGAAGCGTCATCATCATTTGACTTAGCTTCTTCGGCGGGTCCTTTGGACTTGGCTCTTGACCGTTTTGTTGCCGGTTTTGGCTTGTTTCCCTCAATCGGTTCTTCTGTTTCTTTTATTGCTTCGGTAACACTGTCTTTTTTCTCGTCATTTGTTTGGATGATGCTTCCCTTTGGCGGCTCATCTACACTGGCCTTTCGTGTAAGTTTGCGTCGTGGTTGTCGTTTTGGCTTTTCGGTTTCTGTTGGCACTGGTTTATCCGCTTCCTCTTCCTTGTCCTTTGGCACAACACTTTCGACTGTAATAAAAGAAGATACGAACACAAATGAAGGAATAAATAAATTGTGGAAAAAACAAAACGGATAGTATTTTCAAACCCAATCAATGCGTTCATAAAAATTTTACCTTCTTCATCTTTGTTGTCATCATTCTTCGCCTTTCGTGTGTTCCTTGTTGTCTTTGGTGTGGCAGTTGAGCTGGGTTCGACGATTGTTAAAACACGATTACGTAACGAACGTAATGAATGTGGCGTACCAACTGCTGCTGAATTAACATGGTTGAGTTGAGTTTTCAGCTTTTTCGGTGTGTTTTCATCCGGATCAATTTCAGTATTTGCACGTTTGCGTCTTGTCATTTTGGCTGCGGTCTTTTCTGATTTTTCTTTTGAATTTTTCAATTCATCATCATCAGCCATTTCTGCCGGTTCACTTGTCGAAGGAGCGGTTTCGTCGCTCGGTTCAACAACCAAATTGCGATTGCGTTTGTTCAACGGTGTTCCAGAGCTACCAGCAGCTTTCTTTTCTTTGGATGTTTGAACCACGTCTTCCAGCTTCTTTCGTCTCAAAGTTTTTCTTTTTGCAACGACACCATTCTCGGCGCTTTCAGATTTATTTTCCAGAGCAGTGTCTTCGCTCTGTTTGCTAGCATCGACAGCGTCTTGCTTTTCAGAATCAATCAGATTTTGTTTATCACTCAACTCAAGCGACAATTTCGTTTTCTGGCCGGTCAATCGTCCAGCACGTTTCTTCGATGCGGGTAACGGTGTTCCGGCTCTCTTACCAGCCACTTCAGAACTCGAAGCGGCGGCATTGTCGATGAGATTCTCTTCAAGCACGGCTGCAACCAAAACATTAACCGCATCTTTGCTTCTGCTTTGTTCAATGGTTGATTCACTTTTGCTTGTTGTGCGAAGCCGTGTGCTGCGTTTCTTCAATGGTGTCGATGGTGTTTGGGACGTTGATGGAATCGCAACATCAAAATTGACCTTAGACTCTGTAGGATTTGGCTTTTCCACGTCTGACTGCACTGATGCTACATTTTCTTGCCGAAAAGTACGTAGTGTCTCGGATTTTAAAGGTGTCATCTTGACCACGCAGTTGAAATCTTTTGGTGTTTGCACTGCTGCTTCTCGATCCGCATTTGGCTTACGTTTTGTTGTTCGGCTCGCCTTTGAACTACGAGTAGCTCTTGTGGCTTTGCTAATTTTTTCCGGTACAACATCATCATGAATTACCGCAAGTTCGGCTTCAATGCACTCATATATCTCGTCAGTTGGTTTATCTTCAATTTCCCGATTGTCAACAGAGTTAATATTCTCCGAAACTGGTTCAGCAACATTTTCTTCAGCTTTTTCAATAAAATTCAGAACTTCTTCCTCTTCCGGTTCCACTGGTGGTTGAGTTTCCACTGGAGGAGTCTTTCTTCGTTTAGTGCGTTTACCAACTGGAGTTTCAGTTTCCAAATCTGGTCGTTTGCGTTTTGATGATTGAATAACGGCCGAATTGCTATCGCCAGCCAACTTTATTACCGTTTCTGGTTTTGCTGGTGTTGTTACACCGGCAATATCTTCACTTTGTGTTGAATGTCCAATCATGACATTTTCGGTTTGCTCACTTTCAGTCGAAGTCACCTCAGACGCTTCTTGAACTTGATTCTCATTGACGGCTGCACTCTCGGTCGGTTCATCTTCAGACAAAGGCTCTTCAAGGGACGATACAATTTCAGTGTTGCACGGTGTCTCTGAAGCAAGAGTCACGTTCAATTTTCTTAGTATTTGTTTTGGTGTTTCAACGAACGTATTTTGTTTGCGTCGCGTCGATCGTGTGACTGAAGAAGTGGCTTTGTCATCGAACATGTTATTCGTTCCTTTTTTAATCGGCGTTGCAACAACGATGTCATTTTCCATTTGTGAAATTTCAACTTGTACGTTTGCTTCCTCGCTCGATGTTGCCCCTTTAGTTGGACTTGGTTCAACGACTTCATCGACATTCTTGTCTTCGAAATTTGAAATCGGCTCATTTTCAGTTGGGTCCAATTGCACGTTTTCTTCAGCTGGCGCATCTTCTGATGTGTCGATTTTGCATAGAGTAGCCATAGCCAATTTCCGTGGTGTTTGTTTTGGAGTAGCCGATTCAACGACAGTATTACGTCTTGTCGATCGAGTAAGAGCTGAATTTGCACCCAAATTCGTAACCGAATCGATTTTGACTGGTGTTGATGAAACGGCTGTATCATCATGACTTTGGACTACTTCGTTTGATTCTGATTCAACTAGAATCAAATCAACGTTTTCTTCAGCATGCCCATCTTTAACGATTGCGCTTCGGTTGAGTTCGTACACACTCGATTCGTCTGCTTCACATGGTGTCTCTGGGACGTAGCTGATGTCCAAGTTTCTTGGTGTACGTTTCGTTGTCATGGTATCGACAATTTCTTGTTTACGTCTTGTTGACCGACTGATAGTTGAATTACCCTGAGCGGCCAGTGGAGCTTTGGCAGGCGTTGCAAAAACGACTTCTTCATGCTGAGCTGGCTCAGCGGATACACTTTCAACCTGCTCATCGTTGGTTGAAGTCAATTCGGATTTCACTTCGCTCTCCTCTTCTTGAGTTTCAATTGGCTTTTGGATGGCTGAAGATGGTGTTTCGGTTGTCAAAGCCATACTGACATTTAATTTTCTGGGCGTGCTGCGCTTTGGCGTAACAGAGCTAAGTTCAGCAATAAGCGGCTTACGTCTTGTTGTACGTGGAAGAGTTAAAGCTCGTGATTCATCTGATTTCACGGTATTTTGAACCGGTGTCGAAAAAGCGGTTTTCTCGTCCATGCTTTCTGGTGTTTCAGTGTCGTTCTGGTTTTCATTTTGATCGTCGATTGCTTCAGCATTCTCGTCCACATCTACAGAAGGCGTTGAAACAGTATCTTCATCGGTTTGCGTTGGCTCCTCCTTTTCAACGGATTGAACCGATTCAACCTTTTCATCGACTTGCTTCTCTTCTGTGTCGCGCTCATTTTGATTGCTTTCCGTCGATGTTTGTGTTTCAGATTTGCATTTAGTAGCAACAGAAAGAGTTTGATTCAATTTTCTGGGTGTGCGCTTCGGTGTAAAAGAGCTAAGTTCAGCAATAAGCGGTTTACGTCTTGTCGCACGTGGAAGAGTTAAAGCCCGTGATTCATCTGATTTCACAGCATTTTGAACAGGCGTTGAAAGAGTGGTCTTCTCGTCCATGCTTTCTGGTGTTTCAGTGTCGTTCTTTTCACTTAGATCGTCGATTGCTTCAGCATTCACGGTCACATCTTCAGAAGGTGGTAAAACAATACCTTCATCGATTTGCGTTGGTTCTTCTTTTTCAATAGATTCAACCAATTCGACATTGTCTTCGACTTGTTTCTCTTCTGTAATGTTCTCATTTTGATTGCTTCCAGTGGATGATTGCATTTCAGGATCACTAGGCGTTTCGTGAATATGAATAACATTTAATTTTCTCGGCGTACGCTTTGGTGTTGTGGATGCAATTTCAAGAATTGGTTGCTTGCGTCTCGTTGATCGAGTCATGGCCGAACTACACTCGCGGTTCGGTTCAATTTTAGCTGGCGTTGCAAAAACGCGACTTAGAGTTGATTCAAAAACGTTGTCTTGTGCCTCTGAATTCGATGGCACTTGTGATTCGAGATTTTCATGAGATTGTCCTTCTTCGGCCGATTCTGACTCGCACGGTGTCTCTGAAACAAGAGTCATGTTCAGTTTTCTTGGTGTTTGTTTGGGTGTGGCAAACTCAACCACCGGATTTTGTTTGCGTAGCGTCGATCGAGTAACTGAAGAAGTGGCTTTGTCATAGATTTCGTTGATCGATTCCATTTTAACCGGCGTTGCAATAACGATGTCATTTTGAGTTTGTTGAAGCTCATCTTGTACGTTGGTTTCCTCGCTCGGTGTTGCTTCGTTAGTTGAAATCAGTTCAACGACTTCATCAACATTGTCGTCGTTGATACTTGCAATCGGCTCATTTTCCATCGGCTCCTTTTCCATCGGCTCCGATTCCACGTTTCCTTCCGGAGATTGCTCTGGAGCAATGGATTCATCGAGTGTACTTTGTACGGCATCTTCATTCTGTGCAGACTCAATGCACACTTGATCATTGATGGCAATCACTTCGGATTTCTCGTCGCTTTCCTCTTCTTGAGTTTCAATTGGCTTTTGGATGGCTGAAGATGTTGTTTCGGTTGTCAAAGCCAGGCTGACATTTAATTTTCTGGGTGTGCGCTTTGGTGTAACAGAGCTAAGTTCAGCAATTAGCGGCTTACGTCGTGTTGAACGTGGAAGGGTTAATGCTCGAGATTCATCTGATTTTATAGCATTTTGAACCGGTGTCGAAAAAATATCCTTAATATCAATAGTTGTATCATTGATATTTTCGGATGCTTCAGGTTCATTCTTCTCGATTTGTTCATCGATTGCTTCAGCATTTACAGCCACTTCATCAGCAGGCGTTGAAATAGCATCTTCACCGGATTGCAACAACAGATTGAACAGTTCGTCAACGTATTCAGCCGATTCAACATATCCTTCAACCTGCTGCTGTTCTGTGACGCTCTCAGCCGATAATTGTGTTTCAGGCTCGCTAAGCGTTTCGGGAATGTGACTTACATTCAATTTTCTTGGTGTACGTTTGGGCATCGTTGTTTCAGTACTGACACTTTCTTTATTGCGTCTCGTTGATCGAGTAATGGTTGAATTACTTTTAGCGACCGGTGGAACCTTGACAGGCGTTGCAAAAACGGCTTCTTCGCGCTGAGCTGACTCAACGGATTCAACCTGTTCATCTTTGGTTGAAGTCAATTCGGATTTCACTTCGCTTTCCTCTTCTTGAGTTTCAATTGGCTTTTGGATGGCTGAAGATGGTGTTTCGGTTGTCAAAGCCATACTGACATTTAATTTTCTGGGCATGCTGCGCTTTGGCGTAACAGAGCTAAGTTCAGCAATTAGCGGCTTACGTCTTGTCGCTCGCGGAAGAGTTAAAGCTCGTGATTCGTCTGATTTTATAGCATTCTGAACGGGCGTCGAAAGAGTAGTCTGATCATCGATTGCTTCAGCATTCACGGTCACAACTTCAGATGGTGTTGAATCGGTATCTTCATCGGTTTGCATTGGTTCCACATTTTCAACAGATTCAACATTTTCTTCGACTTGCTTCACTTCAAGAACGCTCTCATTCTGCTTGCTCTCTGCGGATGATTGTGGTTCAACTTTACACGGAGTAGTGGCAGCAAAACTGACATTCAGTTTTCTCGGTGTGCGCTTTGGTGTTGCCGCATCAATGGAAAATGGTTGTTTGCGTCTGCTTGTTCTTGTAACAGATGATCCGTGATTTTCGTCGGATTTCACGATTATCTTTGCTGGTGTCGAGAAAGCCACGACATCATCGGCATTTTGTGGTGATTCTACTTCCACTTTTTCGCTTTGATCGACATTCGATTGAGCCACAAGTGATTTCGATTCGGCATTCTCTTGATCCTCGTCTTTGGCTAGAATCGCGCTTTCATTTTGCATGACCTTGGATAATGATGGCGTTTGAATTTTACTGGGAGTATTTTGAGCCACACTAATATTCAACTTTCTCGGAGTGGATATATTGGTGATTTCAAGATTAGGTTGACGGCGTCTGGTCGACCGTGTTACCGATGAATCGCATTCAATAGTCGATTGAGCTTTGACTGGTGTTGCAATAACGGCAACCTCTTCATGATTTTGTGTTGGCATTATGACTTCATCAACACTCTCGTTTACTTCTCCTTCTTCTTCTTTCGACATTGAATCGTCCACAATTTTTTCTACTTGTCCAACTGAGCTACTGTCTTCCGAAACCATGCTCGTTGTCTCGAACTCGTTGCTTGGTATATCATCAACTTTGCTCAAGTCGGCAGTTGGAGAATCTGTTGTCGAATCTGCAACGGAAGCATTTACCTTTGACGGCGTTTGAGCTACCTCGATCTCAGCCATTATAGTAGTATCTCCGGTTGACTTCATCGACGGACTAACCGATTGATTGGCTTCAGATGTTACATTAACCGATGATGTGTTGTCACACGAAGCAGTGATATTTCCCGAATCAATCGATTCAAACATTGAATCGGAGGAGGAGAATTCCAATCTGTCCATTGTATCATCATCCATTTGATCTTCACCTTGCGCATCAAGTTCACTGCTGAAAGCCAGTAAGTTCAACTCTTGAGTTGTATCGGTGCTCAGGCAAACGGATACGCTTGAGCTCGTAGCAATTGGGACAACGCATTCAGCTTCGTCGATATTTGACTCGATTGGTTCGGATACGTTCTCTTCTACTTCGGTTTCTGGAGCATTGACAAGATCTGTAGTTTGTAGATGTGAAATGCTTTCATCGACTGGAACATTTGCTTCGTTCTCTGTATTTGAATCGAATTCTAGTGAGAATGAAAAGAACACATGACAAAAATGCGTATTAATTAATGGTCAGAAAAACAACGAATCAATCAAATGATTAGAATAAAAGAAATGGCATCTCAACAGCAACTATAACAAAATATACAGTTTCATGTTAGTCTATTTCCAACATATACAACTTGTATTTGTTTTTATTTCTCTTCTCATAACAACACATTGTCGCCTATGTTACGATATGAATATTCTTTGCTGTCCTCTTCAGTCATACTCTCTCTAATCAAAATTTGTTTACATTGATTTGTTTGTTTCAGTTTTACTCATTTGTTGACGCTTTTCTATTCATAACACTGTAGTCAATAAGGAATTGAGAAGTGATTTAAAATAACAACCGACATACATTCAATCAGTTCTAAAGTTCTAAATTAAAAAGAAAACAAATATATTCGAAAACTTACGTTCGGTTTCATTTTGAGTGGTGCACGATTCAGAAAGAAATGATTTGCTAATGGTATCATTCCCGATTTCAACTGCCTCTCTTTGTGCTGTTGTCGTAGCTTCTGTTGCCATCAGACCTTCTTCGCTTTGAACTTTACTAGCCGAATCATCAGCAGGCGCCAAAATTGAGTCATTTTTCTGTAGTTCAACTGTTTGTAATTCGCTTTGAATTGGTTCAACCGTTGTGTTTTGCAGATCATTTGTCGTGGTATCGGTAATGGTCTCTTGTTTCATTGCTTGAACTTCACCACTTTTTTCACTTTCCTGAAGTGTGCTCGTGGATGATTCTGGTGAAGCTATCTCGCTTGTTGGTTCGTCCAACAATTGTGGTTTTGTGTCTGTTATACTTTCGTTAGCATCAACACTTAGGCTTTGTGAAAACATCGTTACCGACTCATTGAATGTGCTTGTTTGCTCATTTTGTGTACTTTTCTCGAGTACATCATCTGAGTAGGGGGACATAAATTTTAATTATAATAATTTTTCAAATAAAATCTCTTAATTTGCTAACCTTGTTGTTGTTGTTGTTGTTGTTGTTGTTGTGATGGTGAAGGGCTACTTGGGACTTCAGCTTTGAGTTCAACATTTTGTTGGTGTTCATCAGAAGCGTCGGCCTCAAACATATTCTCGCTGTCCAAAACAGTACTATGCTCATTCGCTGCCTCGACTTGTGATTCCTCATCTCCTTCCTCACTGCTTAAACTAACGACAGACATGTTTGGCTGACCAATACTGATGTTTTGTTTCACAATTTTTGAAATTGTGGCTTCGGATTTGAATGAATACTCGCTCTTGTCACAGTCGATTATGCTGCAAGATTCGCTCAACACTTGGACATCACTGTCCTGTGAAAGTACCTCTTGTGTTTCGGGAACGAAAATGTCTTGTGTTTCTGGGATAACATCATCGTCATCGTTTGATGAAAATTGTTCAATGGATGTATCGGCATTTGTCAAATTTTGTGTTGAATCGATGTCAAGCAAAGAGCGATGCGACACAACTTTTTGCTTTTCTTCATCTTCTTTTCCTTTGACATCCAATTGTTCACATTTGACATTGGCTTTGTCGGTAGTGTCTGCACCTAAATGTATCAAAATTTAATTAAATGTCTGTCAAACGGTTGTGTCACTTTTCAAATTACCTTCAGTACTGTTAGCCGATGCCAAATTCTCGGTGTCTTCATTAGCGCTGGTTTCAAAGAGATCATCGGGCAATTCGATTGGCGGGCACGAAATGGATCGTTCAAACATTTCCTCGTCATCGAAATCGACATTTTTGTCGTTAGTTTCTTGTGTACCAGTCCCTTGAGATCCATCGCTACTCAACGTTATCACCGAACAATTGCTTGGCTGTGACTTGATTGCTACGGCATTACATTCCGTCGATTGTTCAGACGGCACGTCAAAATTCATCAGATCTCCATCCGATTCCATTTCATTTTTGACTAATGTAGCGTTTGCAGTGGATGTGATCTGCTCGGTTGCGGCCATTTGTGTTTCATCCAAATTGATGAGCGCTTGTGACACATCAATCAATGGTGCCGTTACATTTGGCCCTTGTTCTATAAATACAGAATCGTTCAACTGTGTTGGTATAACGGAGCAACCGGTGCTTCGTTCATCATCAGATTCTGCAGAAGGCACATCTTTGTCATCAACATCTTCATGAGCCGACGAATACAAATTAAGCCTAAAGAAGTAGAAATATTTGGGGTTTGGTGTTCCATGAAACAATTAAATAATTAAGAAAATACTAATTTTCTCTCGAAACAGCTCAAACAATGGAGTATGACCAATACTACAACAACTCAGAGTTTACTACGATAAGCTACTTACGGATGAGCTGTAAGTCGACCTTTCGATCGCTGTACGCGTATCAGCTTCATATGCTGAAACAAAGAAAAATCAACTGTCAAAATCATATTGCGACGGAAAAAAAAATTATGAACAAAAAATGAGCAATTTTTATGCAAAAAAACTACCTTTTTGGCTGGATCGGACCATGATGCAAAATCAGCATCTGAACAGAAAAAAAAAAATAAAAAAAAATTTAAAAAAAAATTCCAGAAAATTTGTTTGACATTTCAAATTTACATACCATTCAAATCACCGCCAATATTTTCTTTGGCTTGTTTGACAAACACCCATCGAAATTCGACACCGTCGCAAATTTTGATGATGCTATTGTTGAACAGTGGTCGTACCGATGGTCGAATGATTGCCTTGTCATTGACAAAAATTTCATTGGTCGTTTTGTTTGCAATCGAAACCTATTGGGATAAGCACAAAAAACATGTACAAACATGTTTTGGGCGCCAAAACACAAACAACTTATTAACACCGAGTTTTTGTCAACAAAAATGCACTAAAAACTCCTATTATTTTACCACCATTTCGTTAACAACACACATTTCTTGTAGCAACGGTATTTTTTCACTTACCCGACCGGAGTCGTCTGTCGATATTTCGCAGGATACTTGATTGGCTGGATTAACGTCTTTTATATGATGATCATCGAATATGGATGTACCAAAAACCATTTTAGTTTTATTCGACTGAATAATTTCACCATTTGTTCCATCTTTATTCAGTCGAATTAATCTTCCTTTGCTCGACAGCGGAAACATTGTTCCGAAATCGTTAATCGTTGTTCGTCACACAAATTAATTGTTTTGTTTTTTTTTCGTCGTCGTTCTATTGTCTTACACTGCACTATAGGTATTTTCTGCTTTAGCGTTTTTCAGTTACTGACTCCGCGTCAAATTCGGATTTTCAAATGAACATCTTGTGAACAAACAGCTGCATGTGTCAAGCAGCGCCCCCTTTGTGTACTAAAATTTCGGTATGCAGATTGTGAAAGTCTCACTCACGTATTTACCGTCTTTTTTGTTCGAATGTTTTTATGCAGTCTATCGTTTGAATTATTCTGAAGAATTCGAAATGATTTATTTTATTTTAACCGAATGTTTTTATCTTCGTGGCAATTTAAATTGAATTTTTATTCAAACGATAAACATTTTCGGTCATTCTTCTCCAAACTGACATATGAGCATGTATTGAAAAGAAAACATTGCATCAAAACGGACGATTATACCATATCCCTATTGGAAAAATTGAAATTTCGATTGGCAAATTGATGGACATATGAAAAAATGGCATGTATAAAATATAAAAGATGGAACAATCCCCATAATATTTATTCAACATTTGAATTGGATTCATAATGGTCTATAAATCTAAATGCATACACACAATGAAAATGGTACATATTTTATGGTTTATTTTCGTTTTCCGGAACGGGTGGTGGATGTTTCAAAACACTATCGATAATACCCAATGATTTGGCTTCGTCTGGTGTCAAGAATTTATCACGTTCCATATAGTTGTAGAGTTCATCGTATGGCCGTTTCGTGTGCTTCGAATAGATTTCAGTGAGAGCTTTCTTCATTCGAATGATTTCTTCGGCCTGGATTTGAATATCAGTCGCTTGACCCTGGAAATGCACTATTTTAGACAAATGATTTCAATGAATGTGGAAAGTCTGTTGCTTACTTGAGCTCCACCAGACGGTTGGTGAATCATAATTCTGGAGTTTGGTAACGAGTGTCGCATGCCAGCTTCACCAGCAGCAAGTAACAAGGATCCCATCGAAGCGGCTTGTCCAACACACCTGCGAAAAATGCACAAAATGGCAATCATATAAATGCTACTGGGACGATCGGAATGACGAATCCGATTCTCTGTTTACCATGTAGCGATTGGTGGTTTTACGTATTGCATAGTGTCATAAATGGCCATGCCAGCGGTAACACTGCCTCCGGGCGAGTTAATGTACATATGGATTGGTTTTGTGCTGCTCTCCGACTACATTAATGGAAAATCGAACTTCATCAACAACTTCGAAACAAATGATTGCATGAATCTTACCTGCAAAAACAACAATTGAGCGACAATCAACGAGCTGATACTGTCATTGATGCCACCCATTAAACAAATGATCCGTTCTTTCAGCAAACGTGAGAAAATATCATATGAGCGCTCTCCGCGACCCGTTTGCTCGATCACAATCGGCACCAAACCAAACATATTCCTACATGTCGTATGAATCTGTCGGCTTACACCTAAATTCTGAAAGGCAAAATAGTGTCAACAACAGGATTTATTACACAAAGAAGGAAAACAGCGGTGGAATTTTCAAAATTACCATTAAATGTTTGCACAATAATGTCGATTTCATAATTGGAAAGTTAATTGCACTGAAAGAAAGTTGAAGACTTTATTTTCTTTTGATGTACAGACGATCTTACTTTGACAGATCGCACAGCTGTGGTGAACAACACCTTTTCACTTTTACATCTCACCATCGTTGTTTGTGGTGTGTTTATGAATATAACGGGGAGAGGGGACACAATTTTCACCTCATTGTTATGACATACATAGTTTAAAACCGCTAAAATTTCAGCACTAGTTTTAATCATAAATGAATTCTATTCGTGAGACTTAATAGAATGCATGTTCTTTTCTCAATTGGTGTTCTTGAAAATGAAAATATGTTGATTCTGTCTGCATTAGAAGAGAGTATTGCTGGCTACGAATCGTGCACACTGCACATCTCGATTGTACGTGCCGTTCACAGAAAGAATGTTACACCGATATTTCAAATTCCAAAGGCTACTTGGTCTTGTTTGTTGTTATAAGAATAATCAGGTCTACGTCTAATGGAGATAAATGCGCGGCGAAAAAAGCAAATCAACTCTTATTATCACCTTTCAACACCAGATATGTGGTTTGATATACAAAGTAATGAAAAATGTTGAATAAACTTAAATTCAACGCTGCCCATAAATTTACTGATCGTTCCAAACGTCAATTCCATTTCAAATCCTGTAACCTACGGTCCAACAAAACTTATATTGCGCCACAAATTTGTGACAATTTTTTCAAGTTAAGATACATAAAATCACTGAAATATTTATTCATCCATGGAATGGTCAATTTAAGTAAATATTTTGTCTTGACTTGTTAACGTTGAGAAATATCATGAAGTATAGAAGTGCATTGATCGATTACAGAAAAAATAAGATGCATCTGCATTCTGCAAATTAAAAAACAGTTTCTTGTGCGACTTGCCAATTTTTGCACTTCAGAAAATATTCAAGAAAGTAAAACCAATACGAAACACAATAGACACAATAATAATTATAGACACATGATTTATATCGCCATTCAATAGATTTATTTCTAAAAGGTCGGAAAATTGAATGCGTGACCTATTCAAATGAAGATTACATGTTTCAAGTAAACTTATTTCTTTTTTACTTAATTAACTTTTTTTCTTCCGTAACTAAAAAACAAATTTATTTACATTTAGCTTCTTCACTGTGTGTGTATTTTTTTCTTTCTCTTCTCTTACATGCATTTCATAATTATTATATTCTTTTGTTTTTCTCTTCAAAGTCGGCTTTGTGAACTTAATGTAAATTATCTCGTCGAAATGATTTTGCTTTGTACGTGTTCTTTTACTGAATCCGACCGACAATATCGATTACGTCGGATTTGGTGAATGAGTTGAATCAAAAAAAAAAAAAAAATAAGTGTCGCGCAATTTCCTAATGGTTTGAATTAAACACGTTGATTCAGTCATCTTGTGTCGTAGGTGGTGTCGGCGGCATTCCATACTCTTGACCGAGAAGATCCGCGATCGAACTTGTTATGAATTGTGTAAATATTTCTGCTCTAAAATCCAATAAAAAAAATGCAGTTCAATATTTGTGTAATTTCATCACAGCGTAATGATCTTGAGCTCTTTTCACTAATTACCTCTGACGAACACAATTTTGACAATGCAACGGATCTTCGTGTTTTCCTTTGCATTTGGCACATTTTCGGTTTTCCTCGATTTTTTTATTCATTTCTTCACGGAGAGCTTGAATGTCATTAGCGTGCTGTTCTTTCATTTGGTTGTACTTTTTTTCCATTTCTTCACAGCGTTTGGTTTGAGCTAGAACGTCGTCTTCGTGCTGTTTTTTCATTTCGTCGAGCTGTTTTTTTTTTGGTTTACCACCGCACTCTTGTAGTACTTAAAAATAAACTCTGTGCCTTGAAGATTCACTGTTTTTTAACGAGATGAGAATAGAAAAATATGTAATCAAATATAATCAATTGGGTTCAACAATAAAATAAATAAGATACCTTCACTCAATTTTTCGACCAATGCAATGTCAGACAGTTCGCTTGAAACTAACGGAATGCTAAGGCTACCCGTGTTAGACGCTGAGTTTTGGGCCGAAGAATTATCGTCGGCCGGATTATTGTCAGACAGTTCGCTTGAAACTAACGGAGTGCTAACGCTATCCGTGTTAGACGCCGAGGTTTGGACCGAAGAATCATCGTTGCCCGGATTATGGTGTATATTGTCAGACAGTTCGCTTGAAACTAACGGAGTGCTAACGCTATCCGTGTTAGAGGCTGAGAATTGGACCGAAGAATCATCGTCGCCCGGATTATGGTGTATATTGCTGTCACTGCCAGACGAATTGTGTGCAGTATCGTTCATCTAACGTCTTCTTTTCGCTGCAGGACCATTTTCAATATTCTCGCCTGATACTGATGCCATGTTTCTCTCAGTTATTGCAGTTCACGATGAAAACTTTATCTTCTGAAAGCGAAAATTTACTGAAAATAATTTGTTTTGCAATTTCCAAATTGGTACGATTTATGAAACTATTTACCTTCAATTTCTGTTTGTAAGTTAATATGATGTGTTTGCGACGCGTTGTTGGATATGAATGACGCTTTGGAAAATGGCGACTGGAAAAAAAATGCACCTGTATCGGGCACTACTGCGGTGTTGCCACATGAATGATATGTCAAACTTGGTTCATTTTTCAAAAATTATAAACATCATTCAAATGGGATTTATGGACAAATGATTTGTATCGACATTCAATAGATTTATTTTTTAAAAGGTCGGAAAATTGAATGCGTGACCTATTTAAATGAAGATTACATGTTACAAGTAAACTTATTTCTTTTTTACTTAAATAACTTTTTTTCTTCCGTAACTAAAAACAAATTTATTTACATTTAGCTTCTTCATTGTGTGTGTATTTTTTTCATTCTCTTCTCTTACATGCATTTCATAATTATTATATTCTTTTGTTTTTCTCTTCAAAGTCGGCTTTGTGAACTTAATGTAAATTATCTTGTCGAAATGATTTTGCTTCGTACGTGTTCCATGTGGAATGAAGTGGATGACGTTCTGGAAATAATCATGGATCGAATTCTAATCGAAACGGATAATCGTTGTAATGCTATCCACTTTATATTTGTATGCAGTGTCACGACATTACCAATGGAAAAACCACGAATCTTCAGTAGCCTCACCGATATTGAGCATTTGGATCAAGCCATTGCTACGTGCGTAAAACCAGCTGGGGAAAAACTGGAAATATTCAGTCAGTTGAGAGACATTTTCAGTTCACATCATAATCTTCTGATCGGTCGTTGGTCAAAACGACTCCTAAGAATGTTTAAAGATCGAGACGTAATTTGTGGATTGTTCTGTGTTAGCACTTTTATCATTATCCCACAGATGAATTGATTTTCTTTGTTTCACCCAGCCGTTTAAAAGATCGGTGTAAGCAGTTTCGGTCATATCCATAGCATACAAAAGGCTTCTTTCACTTACCGGAGCTCAGAACGAGTTCAGTCGGCCATCACACTGTATCTGAGTGCAAATAAAATCTGAACGAAAAGAACCGAAGCAACCATGTGCGAAAATTTGTTCAAAGCGTACTACAGATGTGAAAGATGCAGAATCGAATACAACAGAACCAGCCCTTGTAAAGGAGAGAAAAGTGCGTGTGAATGTGGCCACGAAAATTCACCATATCACGAAGTAAGTGGACTTAGTGCTATTTTAATACTTACTATTTTCATTCTCTAAGTTTCATTGGTTCAGTTCTTTCTGCATTTAAATCATATAAAATTTCATTCGCAGGTCGAAGTCGATATGGGATACAAATGATCAACGAAACTATTTCCAGTTTTGCAGCAATAACAACAGCTTGCCGTTACAGAAAAATCTAACATAACATAACATAACGAAAATCATTGTTTTGTCAAAAATGTGTTGAATAAAATTTATTGAACAACAATTAGCAAAACACCAGCGGAAAAACTTGTGTTTTCAATCGAATTGGTGTTTAATGCTTTTAGAATTCCGATTTAGGGTTTTTTTTCTGGAGTTACATTTTCCGTAGATTTCAGCAGTGTTGATCATATCGAAATCAAACGTAAGTATTAAAACTGTTCCTCGTCAAAAAACGGTGTTCATATAATTGGAAATTCAAAGCCAACAGAAGACACTTCCCAGAAAATGGATACAAAATTAGATTCAAAGTGTTCTGAAAATTGTGTTGTATTGAAGTCAGTAAAACTTTGAAAATTGAAGAAAAACAAAATAATTGCAAGTGTTTGATCATAGACACTTGAAATCGAAAAAAAATATAAGTGAAAAAGGCAAAAAATAACGACAGCAGCAAATTTTGACTGTCAGCTTGCAGATTTATGAAAGTGTTGACCAAATGAGAGCGAATTTAGATACAGAACCTGATGCATCTATATATCTCCGGAAAAATCCGCATTTTCAGACAAGTTTTGCATTGTTCCAGATTTAACCTTTGAGACCTTGCTGCGAGAATGAAAATTGAAAATGGATTGGCCATATTCAAACGTAATTTCTCTTACCAGTTGATTCAATTAGCATTCAATGAAAATTTCATCCAAAATAATAACATTGTTGTTGCTTTCGGCAAAAGTTCTTATATCTTACCCACCATAATCGATGCATCTTTTCACAAAAAGAAATAAATAAAATGCTACGACGCACAATAAAACCGCAATGTTGTAAATTTGTTAAATTGATATTTTATTTTTTTTCCTCATGATTTTCTCTTTAAACTAACAGATTCGTTGAAATCCATTGTTAAAATGTTATTTCGTGTACATTTTTTTTCGTGATTATTGAGATAATCAAACAAAATAATTGTTAGATGTGCAGATTAATCGAACAAACAGAAAATCAGACCATTATTCGAAACATCCCGGTAAAATGAATTCGTTCTTCATCCTTTTTTTAATGGGTGCACCATTTTTCGTGAAAAATAAACAATTTATTGCGTTTTAGATTCAAACCTCCTGTTTTTTTTTTTTTGGTTTGCTATTGAAACAGATTTTGCATTGTAAATCTCTAAATCATTAATTCAAGCGAAAAATAAAGAAAAAATGAATGAAAATGAGTACAAAAGTTCAACAAAAATTCGATGTGTGTTTCTCTAATAAGTAATATGCCACATAATTAATCTGTGTGAATAATCACAATAGTCTGCGCCTATCACTTGTATTAGATTTCTTTGAAAAACTATTTCAACATTTCTCTCTGTTTTTTTATTACATTATTATCCTGAATTCATTTAATATAGTCCTAGTGTTCTACATTTTTTTTAAGTGGAGGAAAATCAAATCCAATCTTTTGCATTATTATTTAGAAAGAAAAGTTAGGCACTTGTTAATCAACGTATTTATAACATTTTGCATTTTTTTACAGCTAAAATTTTTTAAGTTCTCTGTTGTTGTTGTAATTAAAATCGTTTTTGTGTACATTTTACATGTGAAATAAACGAAATATTTTCTAATGCGAAAAAAAAGAGAAAAAAATACATATTTTTCGTGTGCAAGTCAAAATATGATTTGCATTTTACAAGCTTATTTCTTTTAGTTGTTCCTGACTTTTGGCACATTGAAACTCGCATTTCCGTTGGACCGAAATAAAAACCATCGTTTCGCCCCTACTTGTGTAAATTAAGCTCACTTAAAAAAAATAAAATTCATTTTTAAACGACAATTTAAATAAAGTTCTCTTTCTCTTTAGCCTGTATTGTATATAGTATATTTTAAAGGAAAAAAAATGTTTACAACTTCACGTTTCGATCAAATTGTCGACGAAATTAATTCGTTCAAAATACAATATCTAAATCTTTTTTTTTCGTCTGGCACTTTGTGACTTAATTATTCGTATGAATTTTCTTTGTTTTTCTTTTTCATGTTTCGGTTAATTCCACCGTGTTTAAAAATACAAAAATAGATATATTGTAGTACATAAAAATTGGCGTTTGTTGCGCTCTCGTCAATGTATATATAAATGTATTCGCATAAAATAGATTCGTTTTGCAAATTAGTTTCATTTTTGTTCCGTTTAAAAAATAAATAGACTTTGATATGTCAAAAATGTAATTGTTCCATGTTGTAAAACAAACAAAACATCTTTTGCCAAAATATTTAATATAAAATTGGAGGAACAACTGCGAGTTTATCGTGTTAGAAGAAAAAAAAATTGTTGCGTTTTGTTTGAATAATAATTCGTATTTGTTTTTGGCATTTTAACTTGTCTGCTTTTTCGGTTAAACGTTTTTGTTTTTCTTTCTCTTTTGGTTAATTAAAATAAAGTGGTTTCGCTAAAAAAGTGAACGCATGTTTGTTAAAAAAACGTGTAAATCGTTATATGTGTGTTGCTGTTTTTTTCTTTATCGCCAAATATGGAAGTGTGTTTTAATTAGGAAAAGCATTTTATCGTTTTATTTTTTTTTTTGTATTAATTATTCAGAAAAATTGTTCGTTTTCGTTTCTAGTGTTTGATTTCATCGCTTTGCGTTGTGTGTGTATGTTGATTTTAAAAGAAGAAGAATAATAAAAACAACTCGATTAGCTGTTGATGATGATGATGATGATAATAAAATAAACAGTGTTTTTAGTTCTTTCGCTCAATGGAATTAAAAGATGTTGTTACTTTTTGGCTTCCGGTTACGCGTTTGATACTCGTTGAACTAGCCATGGTAGATACTGATTTGGTAATGCCGCTATTTAAAGACAATTGGGACAGGTTTTCTGTCGGCAACTCCATTTGAACGTTCGGCGATAAATTTCTTTGGAAGCATTTGGTTTCATATCTAGTCGAAAGGAATTTGAATGGTTCGTTTCATCAATAAAAATTTTTTTTTCTCGATTTTGTTGTTCGTTTGAAATGGCAAATAAATAAAATGAATAGTATTGAATGAATAAAAATCTTTTTTTGGCTGGGTTGCACATTTGCCATATCTAAATTCTACAACATTTCAACAGATAACATTTAATCAAGCGCAATACCATTAGAAACAATTTAACCAACGAATGGGAGAAACATATATGTATCTGAATGCATAACAATATTCAGTAAAATTGATGACGGAGCGAGTATGTAAAATCATTTATGTGTATGGTTTCTGGATAACCGATGAACCATTCTCCAATGTATTTTGATTTATCAATTTTAAGGCCAAAATGGTGTACTTTTCTGTATGTATGTATTTTGATTAAACATTCTCGCTTCTCTCAGGCGATATATAAAAATAGCTTTCATTTTCCTGGAGAAAAATTCCATTTCACATCTAAAAAGAAAGCCGCTTGAAAGCCGGTTTGAACCGTGTACAACAAATTACATAAACAAAATTCGATTCCATGCGATCCCAACAATTTCTTAATTTTATAACAATTCTTTTTTTTTCAACAAATATAAGGCAACAACCGTGAATTAAAAACGAATCCCAAGAAACCAATCAATAGACATGCGCTAATGAGTAATCAAAAGCGCAAAATAACATTTGTCCCGTAAATGCAATCTTCGACTACCAAATGGATTTTTGAAAAGCCATCATGATATTCGCATGAACGATGCAATGATACAAATAAAAATGAAACCATTAAACATTCATCGAATTTGGATGCAATTTCAATCATAAAAAAATGTGTAATGATTTTGTGAGCACATATACCAATTAGTTAGGAAGCATTTATAGATCAATTAGTATGAACACAACCAGCTTATCATTATCAATACAAAAAAAAAGAAAGTTTCAACTGAGTTAACATTTAAGCAAAGCGATTGAAAGCGTTAGTCGTGATTTCGTATTTCTATGTTTTGTTTGGACTTTACGAAACAAGAAAAAAAATAGATCAAGCGTGTTGTCAAATGACTTGGTTTTTTTTCTCCAAATTTTCTTAAAAACTTTCGATTTGTACGTGTGTGTAAATGTGATCGACGATAATGATTTTACCTTGTTGTAAAACCTTCATAGGTTTGCTCTGTTTTTGATTGATCATTCTGGTTCGATTCGCTTGCGTGTGATTTGAATGTGCTCAATGGAACCACGCCACTTTTGCCAAATGTTTTCTCGTGCAAATCCTGCACACACGCCTCTAGTTGTTTGTTTTTATCGCCGTGACCGCTTCGAAATGTGGATGTTAGCAATGGTGACACGGGCGTTCCGTATGATGTGTCTGAGTGATATGGACGTGGTGTGGCATTTCCAGTTAAAACGGATCGATTGAACCGCGATGGAACTTCGGGCGGCATTTGTGCTGGCGGTGGTGGTGGCGGCAACTGTTGTTGCCTATTGAAACTACTGTACAGGCTACTGCTGTTTGCTGAATCATTGAATCGGTTATTGTTGTATACTTGATAGTTTGATGGCAATGGTGGCGGTGGTGGTGGAACGTAATCCTCTTGATCACTATCTTCGAAGCCAATGGCATTTCGGTGACGATACTTTGCCTGTCGAATGGCGCACAATTTATTCCGGGCTTCTTCCAATTGCTTCTCCATTTTGATAACTTCTGATCGTGCATTGATTTCTTGTGCCATGCCATCAACCATGCTCGTGTTAATCTTTAGAATATGCTCTTCTTCCATGTCGAGCGCTTGCTGGGCGGCTCGTACCAAATTATCCGTTGATTTGATAACAGCATTACCGGCCGATTGCAAACGACGGCCCGTTTCGGAATTTGGATCCGATCGCACTTTGCAGGCAATCAAGAGCTGAGCAGTTGAGGCGGCCACTTGTTTAGCCGATGATATGAGCACTTCTTCGGTACCCAAACCTTGTACAAGATTTTGGGCGGCTTCGACTAAGCTATGTGTGGCAGCGGCTACTAAGCGCGCAGCCGAGATAAGACCTTCCGACCATTGACCATCATCTGAGGAAATATGCGGCGAACGAGCCACTTTTCCTTGATCAATCAGTTCTCTTTGGGCTGCATTTGCTGCACGAACCAATGCTGATGATGCAGCCATTATACCGCGCGCTGCCTCCAAAATCATCTCATCGAATTGCAAATTGTAATCGGCTTCCTGTTCCAGAACAAAAGAAAAACAAAATGAACAAAACATTGATCAAAACCACAATTGAAACACACAGAATGTTCAAAGAAGAAAAATTAATTTATTGAAATTCACGAAGAGGCATTTCGATTCCCACGTTGCTCACAACAGCCACGATAATAATATGTTTGATTCCTGGGTGAAAATTAAAATAACAACCAAGAATATCAAACATATCTCATCGTAACCATCAAACCGGTCGAGAGTCCATCCATTTGAGTCTGGTCACAGCTGTAAATGTCAAAAAAACTACAAAATATTCTGGAATTGAACGTACCTTTGCTTCAAGTTGTCGACGTGGTCGAAGATTGGCCAATTTTCTAGCGGCCGCATCGATCGATGCAGCTGCGCCCAGCAGTTCATTTTCAGCGATAACCGTTGGATCTTCTGGATCAACCCAATCAGAGCCCTTCAGCAATTGTGCCATTGCAACTAGATCGGTAACATATTTTGCAACTTGTCTCGATAAATGCATACGTTCATCGGCATGGCATCCGCGCAATACACCCACCAGCAATTCTTTGTATGATGTGGCAACGGCAGCGCCCGCGTCCAATGTTCTTTGACGCAAATCGGGCGTTTCAGCACAATTCCAAGCAACCGATCGACAAACGGCTAACATTTCCGAAATGGAACGACGACCCAAATTGGCCGCTGCTACAATATCATCTTGCAAATTCGATGCACCGGCCGCAACTGCTTTGGCAGTTGCCAATGTAACATTTCGTGTGACGCGAATCAAATCTTCGGGTGAATTTGGTGGTGTACCAGCCAAAAGTGGCGATTTAATCATCTGTTTTTTTTTTGGTGTGAACAATGCACGAACAAAACATTCCGATTAGTATATGTGAATGGAGATGAAAGTGTCATGTTTGGAACGAAAAAAAAAATTGTTCCAAAATATGGAAAGGGAAAGGAAGAGTGAAAAAGGTGGTTTACCCGAATCTCTTGTGAAATCGCTTCGACAGAGGCCTCCATGGCACGTGTTCCACGTGTGTGTTCGTCTTCAACAGATTTTACGGTTTTTAACAAACCGGATACCATAACCACTAAAACCTAAAAAGGAACTCACGTTTAAGACTATGGACCTGAATTTTGGTTGGTTGAAACTTATGCTCATCAAACCAAATTGGATATTTTTGATGAACGTGTGTTTTTTTTTATGTTTATCGCATTTATCAAATGAAGAAAACAAATGTAAAAATAAACTCGAAAAAAAAATCATTACTACCGAAATCGCTTCGCAAAACAATGCATTGAACATCATTTCTGTTTGGGTATTAATTTAGAAGAATTGATTAGATTGCGGCAGCTAGTTTGAGACTACAATAAAATTGCACAATAACCACAAAAAAAGTAAATAAGAATAATAACAATAATAAAAAAAGAGGAATTCGTCAGGAGGAAAACCCGTACGTGTTAAGTCTCAAAGAGAATAAACTACAGACAGTGTGCGTTGGTGTTATTTTGGTACCATTAAATTTTTTTTTATATAGAAACGGCTTATTATAAAATCATAAAAACCAAACATTCTTCCACGTAAGCCTAGCAGCATTCACATAAAATAAACTATATTGAAAATTCAAACACATTTAAGCAAATGTTCTATGTGTGAGTGTTTTTGTTCTTTACTTACCCGTGCACTTTCTTTAAGATCCTGCATGCATGGATCGTTGACTGATTTTCCAGATGCGGTCTTCGTTGTGTTGATCAATTCACCGAGAGCCGATGCAACATCTTTCACGGCATTAATGACCATCACTTGAGATTCAGGTTGATTCGAGCCCAAACTGCAGGCACCGCGTTTCACAGCATCCGCTAGTTGAACTGTTTGATGGTGAAGACAACAACAAAATCATTAAATTTCCATTTCCAACGGAGGAAATATTATATGACTCATATTGTAAGTGTACGTTCGAATACTCACTAATTGTCGTAACGGCATTTTGTGCAGCATTCGAAAGTTGTTCTTGTGAACCGGCCGCACCAGCCACCAACACCTTGGTATCTTCGACCAATGCCTTGGCTGTTTTCAAAATGTGTTCACGATGATCGGCAAAGTTGCCATCATTGTCTGAGTGCAATGTGCCGGCCGTTGCAAACATAATAGTCGTATCCAAATCACCAATAATTCCTGACACCGTATTCGCTGCATTGATACACGCCTGTGTTCCCTTTGATCCGGCTTGAAGTGCGGCCAAAACTTGTGCCACTTTCTCCGATACGCTACGAGCAGACGATGAAATTTCGCTAAGCGAGTATGCATCATCAACTCGAGCACCGCTGCTGGCTTGAATCAATGAACCAATCGAACGACCCAAATCTTGAACCGATTGCTTGATACGCATAGCCGAATCAGATGATGATGTTACATGTGACGCTCCAATTGAGTCCTGAGCAAGTTGGGTATAGTGATGAGTTATTTCCACCGATGGTTGGGCCAATTTAGATGGATCGAGTGCAGCCTTTGCGTTCATTTCATTTGCCAAACGTGCAATTTCTTTAGCACTTTGTACCATTCGGGTTTGATAGTCAACAAAGCTGGTGCTTGACGTTGCATTGAACACGGATTGTCGTTTGTCGGTGATGCGCGACATGGCACGATAGATTTGCTCCAACAATCCGCTAACGATGCCACTTTCTGTGGACAATTTCTCAACGGTTGTATTCAATTCAAGAATAATCTCACGTGTATTATCAACCGCTTCGTCGAGTCGACTGTGAAGTTGGGTTGCACGTGGATTTCCACCAGCCTCTCTGGCCACTTCGACCAATTCGCGTGAGCTTTCGACCACCGATCTGGTTTGGTCGATCAACAGAATTTGCTTGTTCGAGTGAACGATGTGCGAACTGGCACCGATGGCACTCTCCGTCAATGGGACAATGTAACGTGAAATTTCGGTAACAGCATGTCCCAAACTTTCTGCATTGCGTTTGGCAGCCGATTTGATTGGTTCGAGTTTGTCGAGCAGTTCGGCTGATGCATTGAGCATTTGGCTAGTGAAACCTTGCAAATTATTGTCCTGTCGTTTTGGTAAACCTTGTACACCAATCGAAATTGAAGCGGTATCCAATTCGCGGGCACAAGTGTTAATCGTTTCGAGGACATTGTCGCATTGAGCTTGACCGGGTGCTTTGTCACGAATACTGTCAACCAGATTTCGTACGCTGTCTGATACTGGTTTGCTACGTAGAGACAATTGTTGCCAAACGGCTGGATCTTTTGGTGCAACGGCCAACGACTTAACGGCTTTAACCATTTCAACAACACCATTTACTACACCGCGACCAGCCTGCAAAATTGGCTCTTGGGCTCTGTAACCTTCTTCGGAAATTTTGGCTGGAATCGAAATGAATTCCGGTTGTGAAGCATATTGGCACATTGAATTCACGGCTTCCAATAATGGCTCAACGTATTGAGCACGCGATGGGGCACTGTATTCATCTTCCAATGCTTTCACTGTAAGGAAATTGAATATCGGAATTAGAATTGCCCGGAATCAATCTCAAATTGATATTATTTTATTTGTTACTAAACATTCTCAAACAATTGAGCAATAAAAACTCACCTTGAGCAACTAAGTCAGCGGTTGTGTTGGCTACCGATTTGGCGCCTTCGATGAATTCATTCTTTGCAACTGGATTCGATGTGTTCAAGCTAGCACGACGGCAAACGGTGCACAAGATTGATGTTTGTTTGGCAACGGCCGTTAAAGCGGTAATCTTTTGCTGTTTGGTTGTGTTCAAACTGCTGACAATATCGCAATTCTGACGAATGCCTTGGTAGGCGCGGTAAAGTTGCGTTTGATCGATGATACCCGGGCGACCAGATGAGCTAGTTGGATGCGATACACCAATCAGATAGCTTGCTTGTGCAGCCGATTCAATCAAACTGCGAAGTGCCTCAGACACTTGATTCACTGAGTGACCAAATTCGGTGTCAGCATTCTTGGCTTGATTGCATGTGTCTGAAATGGCGATGCCCAATTGACGTGATTTTTCCGTGGCATTTTCAACACATTCGTAGTAGCCTTGATCGTTAATCGGTTCGGTTGGGTTGTCCAACAATGGGCGAAGTGCTTCGATTGAACGAATTGCATTGTCACACTCTTTTTGGCCTGTGAATGGAATTGAATTTACAACATGTTATTTCAAAGTTAATCAAATATTTTTTAACTAAATTTTATTGTTAATCCAAGAATCATATTCGAATACTTACATGGAGCTGCTTGCGTGGAAACATCTACCAAATAGTTGATGCTATCGGTAACTGTACGCGATGCTTGTGAAAGTTGACCCTTGGCATTGGCTTGATGTGGATCGCTGGCAATTAATTTTGCGGTTGAAAGAAGTGACACAGATGTGGCTGAAACACCGCGCAATCCATTCATGATGTTGGTTTGAGCGATGTGATCGGTGGTTTGGCCGGCCATTTCAAGAGCACACGACAGCAAATCCTTGTAAACGACGCTATAATTTTGTGATACAACAGCCAACCATGGTGGACTTGAATAGGCTTTAGCAACTTCACCGCTGGCTTCGTTCAGGTTATTTGCTGCAGTTCTAAGTTCGTTTTGCAATTGGCCGTATGTTTTGTCTGTAGGTGGATATTCACCTAAGTTGATGATTTCGCTCAATTCGTTGACGTTCTTCAGTGCTTCGTCGACTTCACGTTGTCCAGGCAAACATTCGACGCAGCTTTGCAATGCGTTCGTGACATCACGTTGATATTGATGCAATGTTGGCCCATTATCTCCGTTGTCTAATGCTTGTTGAGCCACCTCCATCACACGATGTGTGCCACGGATCACTTCATCAGCCTTATCGATGATGTCCGCATTGCCGCCAGTGGCGACAACGCCACGGATATTCTTTGTAAAGTCACCCAGTGCCAATGCCAAATCTCGTCCAGCCACACCAGCATACATACGTTCGTCTTGATTGATGGCTGAAATCAATTGCGAGAGGGCAAGTGCTACAGCCTTTGCGCTATTCGTCAATTGTTGCGATGTATTGTCGGACGTTTCATTTGGAAGTGGTCGAAGTTCTTTGTGCAAATAGGCGGTGCGAGTATCGTTCAATACATTGTACAGATTTTTAACACAATCAATGGCTGATTCAAGTTCCTGTCCGCTGCACGCTTCACGTGCCCGTCTTGCGGCCGAGCCGAGTTCGTTGATTGAGTGATTCAAATTCATGGCACTGTCCGACAGAGTCTGTGATGCAACGTGATTCTTTACGGTTGGATAGAATGCACGAGCTGATGATGCCACATTGGTGCCGGCATCGATAAATTGTTCGGAGATTTCGATGAGATTCAATTGTGATTTCGAATCATTTGGATTGACAATCGATGTTTTAACGCCGTTCACCAGCGATGGAATATATTCGGTGGCAATGCGACAATCTTGCATCAAATGCTCTTTAGTTTGGAAGTCATCGCTGTAGTCGATTGCATTGTGTGAAGCTGAAATGCATTGCGTTGCATATGAAGCGGCATCTTTAGCACAATTCTCCAAACGTTGAATGATCTTCCGTTTAATTGCCGGTGTATTTGAGTTCGATGTGGTAATATCGCGAAGTTCTTCGGCGGCACTACGAAGTTCGGTTTGATGGCCAGCATCATGTGGGCTACTTGCACACAAACGAGCTGCTTCCACCATTTTTGCGGTAGCATCGGCCAATTTCTTAGCAGCAGCCAGCAAACGATGCTGTTGTCCCGGCTCCTTCTCTTGTTCCGCTTCACTTTTGATCGATTGAATCAATTGTGCGGTCACTTGACCAAGAACACGGGCTTGTCGCACCATTTCTTGTGTGTCAACGCTTGAAACCAGTTTATCGGTGGTGATTAAAATTTTTTCAACTGGATTCTCATCATCGGTGGCCAAACGTTCGTTTGATGTTTGTTTGAGGTAGTCCAATAAATCGCCGAGCGAACGTGACACTTCCTTTGCAGCAGCCATCAAATCACCCTTCAATTGAGGACTTTCGCTGGCAAATTTACATGCATCAACCAAATTTGAGACGCTCTTTGCCACTTCACGAGCGGCTGCCTCGAGTGAACCTCGGCAACTGGCATTTTGAATCGTTGGTGCGACGACTTTTGCGCATGCAACCAATTGCGATGCGGCCAAAGCACATTGACTCGCCGATCCAATCACTCGATTACGTTTTTCATCATCGTCACATTCAGCAGCAATCGATTTGGCACGCAGAACCAACGCAGCAGTTGTATTTGCGACAGCTTTAGCCAAACCTAAGAGCATATCATGGATTTCTCGATTTTCTGGCGTTTCTTCGCCGATGGTAGTCAAAACGTCACCGCTAGCCTGACCAACGCGACTGGCTGCATTCAATAGGTTCTGACGTGGTTCTTTGCTCTCTGGTTCGGCAGCCTTCAATAAATCGCTTAAAGCATTGCACAATTGACGTGCTGTGTCTAACAATTTATTGCCATTATTGTCATCATCGTCCATGAGTGCGGCGAGTAAGCGCACCTCTTTCGTAACTTCGGGTATGCTTTCGGTAATTTGTGAAACCGCTTGACTGATAACCTCATGATCAACATCATCCGGCTGTGTTGCGGTGACTACTTGTGCGGTAGCCGCATTCACGCTAGCAATATGAACGCTGACCGCATGCTTTGATGTGTCTAATTTGCTTTCACGCCATTCGATGGAATGCATATCGGGCAGTGGCGCCTTGGTCAGCAATTCTTCTTCGGCAATACGAATTGCTTCACGTCCAGCCGAAATGTAGCCAACCAATGCACGCTGTGGCTCCGAATGCACGGAGTTTATTCGTGTTTCTTTAAGCTAAAAGAAAAATATTTCACAAATCAACAACAATTTTGATAACGTTCTCAAGCGTTCTCGACTCATGGTACGATATTCATGTCATGGGCATATTTTACAAGGCTCTTAAGCTAACTATATATATACATATATTGATTTGGATCGATTTCTTTTTTTAGTATTATTTAGCATTGTATTTTCAGCAACTTACAACTAAATCTTTTGAATTGTTTTATTATTATTTTTACAGCATTTCGTACATTATGAACATAAAACACGTGAATGAAAGCCATAAACTTACCGTTGGTGGTTGATGTGCCATATTCACTTGACCGATAAATGCTCCGTATTGAACCGTTTGGATTTCTTGGTGAACATATGGTCTTTCACCTACATTCGGATTATTTATGTAAGTTAAATTTAAATGCTCTGGAATTGGACAACGGTAAATAGAGGTGAAATCGGCATCAAATGTACTCACCATCAGAGGCGCGGATAATCGCTGGCTTGGCCACGGATTCAGTAACAGCTTTGCCAACGCGATTTTCTTCACATTGCAAGAATGTTGCTCTGTACAAGCAAGAAAAAATTCACAACAGTCAATAAATTGGTTGAATTTATCGCGTAATTGAAGAAAGAACAGAAAGAAAAAAACGGAATCACTTACTTTGATGGAGCAACGCTCTCTTCGACCATAGTCGAGCCCTCGTCACCTTCGAGGCCGAAGTGATCTTTGTTTTGTTTTTTCTTCAAGATGATGTCAATGTAGCCGGCAATGAGTTGAACGATTTGCTCGGCTTCGGTCGTTTGTACCGAATAGTATTCGTCTGCATAGTCACCAAAATCGAGTGTGAATGTGTTGGGTGATGCTCCCCAACGGCGAACCGTAGTCAATGGCCATGTCTTGAGAATTTCTTTTGTGTGTTCGTCCAAACGTAGAACGGAGTCTTTTGTGACGCCCAACAAACGTGGCACAAGTTTGTTTTTACCCACCATTTTTTCTTTGACCAAGAAAAAGGTGACGCCATACGTTGGCAATTCACGGGCGGTCTTTGTGTACAGAACTTTTGCATCGAGCTCCGACAAACTGATGTGTTTTCGATGTTCAGCAAACACTTTTTTCTCGATATTTTTGACACGAGCGTTCGATTGCGGCAGAAACTCTTTCAGGCTGTAAACATGTTCATACTACATTAGCTTGTTTATTGTAAATGGGATTTGCGTAATGCAAATAAATTAGACCAAGTAACAAGGACATGAAAACAACAAAGTTTCAATTGTTCTAAAGCCTTTTTTCTCTTTCTCTGTATTTGTTGACTCAAACGTGACTCTCTTTTTATGGCCATTTATTTGTCAATAGTTTTTGAATTAGAATTCATTACTTACTCTAGGAATCCCGGTTTGTGTTTGCTTTCGATGTAGTCGCCAAACTGGATTTGCGCTTGAATACCGGCAAATTCGCAAGCTGCAAATTGAAAGTGGGATTTTGTTTTAAAAAAAAATTCCTATCGACAACTTAATATCTTAATCAAAATTGCATTTTTAATGTTTCATTAGAAATAAAAACGTACCTTTTTCTTGCGTTACAGGATGAGTGCCATCGAGAATGGCATCACGTGCTTGAACATACAATAGATTCAGTTGTACTGGATCTCTTGAGTCGATGTTTTGATCGGAGAAGAAGAATTTACGCTTCAATAAAACGGTTTCGGATTCATCGATGCCTTGTTCACGTAATGTTTTCCCTGTGTCCACCCAAACAACTGCAATTGCACAAAAAATAAAACATTATTTACAATCGATTTTGGTACGTCGTTCAATTTTTCAGTTTACAAAATAAAAAGCAGTAGTGAGAGAGTATAGCGACTTTTTAGGCCCATAAAACCATTGAAATTCTGAAAAAGTCAAATGATTTCCAATCAACTCAAGAATGGAATCATTGTTGAAGTTGAATCGCGTCTGAAGGTTAAGAAATAAGCGGTTTTGCGTTGTATACCAAAAAAAACAACTCTCATCAATTTATGATAATTTGAGCACTTGTCATCAATCAAAATCGAAGCACTTTGATCATGCGTAAATGAGGAGCAAAAATGCGCACTTCGTTATTAAAATAGTTCTACTGAGTATGGTTCGAAAGGCAAAATAAATTTCAGTTTGATTCTCCGATTCACAATTCTAATTTACTACGGGAATATGGATTTTCACTACACAAACCAAACGAAACAAAATAGAACGAGAAAAGAAAACAATGCAAAACAATATCAAGTTGAAACTCACTTTCATCATCCGTCTTCAATTTCTTCCTCAAACTTTCCATTTTGGCATCACGATCTTTTTCCGCAAATTTCCGTCTCAGCGTCAATGTGCCCGTTTTATTGTCCGGTAAATTTTCATTTTGTTGATCGTTTTCCTCGCGCACCAGCCCATACTCTTCGTGATTTGTGATTCCGATTTTTGTGCATATCACGACCATCAATTGAGATACTGGTTGTGAATCATCGACCAAAATTGTTTTCACCGCACCATCCAACATGCGAACACGTAGCGTACGCAATTTTCGACGATACTCAAGCACATCATGATTGCGAAGCAAATAATAGCCTAAATTTCTACCCGATTCTAACCAAACACCTTGTTTGTTATCATCATCCGACAAAAATAGACCATATTCGGAAGCTGCAAACGAATTTGGAGATTTTTCATTTAACTAAATCGTTTCTTTTTTTTATTTGGACAGAAAAGGAACAGAAAAGGCCAAACAGAATCTATTAACTTACGTTTCCCTTGGATGGCTTCGGCAAATTTCTCTCGAATTATCTTGCATGCATCGAATACGGAGATTTGTGGATCGAATTGAATGGTTTTAGTGACAGCACCACCTTCAAGGCTAATTTTCAGCGATAGCGTAGCCATTTGTGCCTTTTATTAAATCTGAAATAATTTTTTTGTTAAATTGATACGTTAAATTAGTTCAGAGTGTCTTGAACAACTGAAAATTATTATCAATAACAACGAAAAATAAATCGCGCAACATTCTACATTCTCTCATAGTATTTCTCTTTCGTTTAATCATTTGAAATTCTGATTTGGCAAAATGACTCCTTTTAAACGAGTCGAATATTTATATGATTGCATCATCATCAAATAAATGAAGGGAAAAAAGAGATTCAAACCATTTTTCTCAAAAACAAAATAAACAACATAAATAACCATGCGTTTGAAATTAATCCACACATTCACTACGTTGTGGGGCTCTTGCAACTCTCTTACCGATTCCACTCGATGGTTCACATTTTTACGCACTTTATTTTATCGTTCGCTGTTTATCGCGTTAAAGTTACGTTTTAAATTTGGTAAAAATTCTATAAAAAATCTGATTTAATTTCATGATTTCGTCGAAAATGCGAAATAATTTTTATGCTGAATTTTGTAAAATGAATTTGATGCATTTCCAAAAGAAATGAACGAAATAATTGTTCACAACTTATAAATCGTTGTTGATTATTCGTGTGAAATGATTGTGAATGTTCCAAGTTCCATGGAATTATTAAAACTGAACAAGCCAAACACTTTGTGATATAAACAGAAATGTTTTCCTTTTTTTCTCTTTTCCCTTTTTTTCTGGTTCTTGTTAAAGATAAAAATTTATTTTATTTTCTATTTTATTTTTGTGAAAAGTCGCGGAGCTCGTCGAATTCCGTGTCTATTCACTTGAACGGTTAGGCCTAGAATGACGTGTTTCTAAGGATGATAGTCGGCAAAATATCAAAGTGTATTTTCTATCGGGGGCTTTTATTTCCACAGGATATTTCCCCTTTTTGGTAATTTTGACGCATCATTTTATGTGCACACCACATACAGTTTCATTAGCATTGCGATGACAACAGGGATCTCACTCTCTCTCGGTTTCTTTTTGCATTCGATGAGACGGAGAGGGAACGACACACACAGAGAGAAAGAGCGACGACAAAAAAAGGGGGAATTGGTGAAACGGTACATTATGGCTATGTTTATTTGAAATGTGCGATGCTGCGATGCTTCGCTTTGTGTCCTTCCTCTTTTTTCGAAACCGAGAACGGCCACAGTACGGCTGCGTGAAAATTGCTGCCATCACACATCCTATGGCATAGGATGCTGTGAACATTTGGCTTTGATTCTGTATACATTGGATATGTGTATCAGGAGTATGATATAAAAACCCATTACGTTCGATTATTTAATCCGAGAATTCATTTGAAATGGTATCTTTTGACAAATCATATTCTTTGATTTTTCTTGAACAGCTTCTGCTTGATTTCCTCCCCTCGGCCCAAAAAAAAAAATCATTGCCATTTGCCATTCATTCCATTCGACGAATAATCAAGCAATACCCATACGTATGCATACATCTATGTACAAAAGAAGCAAAGAAACAGGCATCGACTTAACACAAAAATATAGCACACTGGATGCCTGCCGAGCGACTTCCACTCGGTTCAGGTTTGATTATCTATTAATTGTTTAATTTCAAATTAACCATCACTTGTTCGGTTATTCCAATTACATTGAACTTGGGGGGACTTAAGAATATGAGAGAGCGAGAGCAAGAGCAAGAGAAAAAGACAGTCAGCACATTAAGTAAGTAATTGAAATGATGATGTTTTGCATATCAAAGATGGCGAAAATGCTACAAATTCACCCGATCACTTCATTCATTCGATGAATAACAAATCAGAAGTACAAACAAAACAAATTAAACCATTATATTTGGATGCATGCGGTTTCAAGCCGACACACAGAGAGAGAGAGAGAGAGAGAGATAGAGAGAGAGAGAGAGAGAGAGAGAGAGAGAGAGAACGTTTCTTGAATATACAGTCAGTGGCATCGGAGCATGCATTGCATGCCTTCTGTTTGTCTCTCGATATTCTCGGCCGACATTTTTCGCTTCGATTTTGAACTCTGAACTGAACTCTGATAACTTTGGTTTTAATTCATTTCACTGCCAAGTGTACAGTGCAAAGTGTACATTCCATACGCTATTTATACTTATGCCGCGTTCCCATTTGCTGCTTGCATGCATTCCTAAAATGCCATAGTAATTAAGCGCGGTCAAGCCCACCGCATTGAATGAAAGATACACAAAGAGAGTGAGAGAGCGCGTAATTTGTAAAGTGGAGTAAGTATTTATAACGCGATTTATTAATGAAAGAATTTGTCAGATTCCTGCAAATTATGATTCCATATATTCATTAATGGAACGCTAACTACTGGGGCTGACAATGTGTAGCATTAACCCTCTTCGACGACTCAATGCTCTGTTGTTTCCATTTATCTACGAATCTCTTTTTTCCTCATCTCGCAAAGTTTTTCATTTTATGTGTATGCTTTTTTTCTGTTTTCGTTCTCTCTTTTTTTTCAAACACTAAAACAATATTTGCATAAATTTGATCGGGGAGAGTGTGTTTAGAGATCCCTCGTGTAAAGCCAAAAACAGAAGCATCTTATGGGCTTCAGCTTATGTTACGCGCGCTCATGTACTGCTATCGCACCAAAAACTTTTTGACAAAAGCAGATAGGGTGAGAGCAGAATGCATAGATTTATTGTTTGTATTCTAATGGCATCGAAATCATAATCATAACCTTTGCTTGCGTCTATTTGTGGGGAGCATACACAAAATAAATTACAGCTAGCGCCGAAAATCCTAGTACATAGGTTGCGAAGTCGCGACACTTTGGCGCCATGCATAGTTTGACAAATATGTAATAAGAATTGTTCTTTGGCTCTCTGCTCTCTTTTTGTTCGGCGTTTTTCCAAAAATGGATAGAACGATGCTACTTTTTTTCTGTTGCCGCCACCGCCGCCGCCGCCGCCACCGCTGCCATTCTCTGGCCGTTGCTGTTTTATGTACGCTGTCTCCTCTTTTCAATGCTTTTCAACCAAATCCAAATACAATGTTTTTGTTGCTGAAAAAAATATATTATATTGGGTACATTGTATGTGAATTGGTAAAATTTCTGTCGTTCGATAAAGCACACACACGGTCGGTGTGGTTGAATGAGAGGTTGGCGAGCGAGAGAGAGAGAGATAGGGAGAGAGAGAGAGAGAGAGAGAGAGAGAGAGAGAGAGAAAGAAAATGAGAGACGCTCTCTCATTGCCAGTAGCCAGTTTATTATGATACGTTCACATTCGGCTATTTCACTCTCGAATATCATCTTAATTATGGTTGGAAGCAAATACATGGATGGCGAAAATGGATGTGGTGGGGCGCATGCGCCTATCTCGCAAATGATGCTGTATAAATACTTGTATGTATCTTAATAAATTGGGCATTTGTATTTTTATGTAATAATATCATTTTTTTTCACTCTGTTTTGTACTCTCGCATTCGGTGTGCTCCCTATCTATATACATATATGAAACTGAATATAAATGTAGTTCGGAGCCACTTTAACTATTAACTGAAACACGAACAAGATAAACCAACGAACCAACCATTTTTTTAATAAATTAAATCGCTCCGACAAACAAACAAAAAATCCAATAAATTATTCAACTTTTCGTTTTAAATGAATTGCCTGATTGGACAGTGATCTTGCTGCTGCAGCACAAGTAACATTCGAAGGAAACCACATAAACAGACACCAATTTTCGGTGGTTGTGCAGCATCGAGAGGGATGATATTGATGGTATCGTTACTGGGCTCTTAGATGCTTCTCATGTGAAACGAACAATCACGGAACCGGAATATCGACTTCAAGATTCCATTCCAATGACGATCAAGCCAAATGAGGCACCGAATAGATTATGACATTCGTTTTATCGGCAATCTCTCCCGAATGAAAGACAAATAATCTCCATATTGACTGACTGAACGGTTCAATTTTGGATTTATAATGAATGAAACATGAGCGCGTTAAGCGTTGAGCATATCGGGACATTGGTCAGACATCGTCATGATGGTTTTACTTTGGCATCAAATGTGCCAGACACACAAATCTATTTAAACGAAAAACAAAATTGGGTTCACACATTTGGTGAACATGATGCTGTGAATCGAATAATTTGTTGCAAGGTTTTTCTCTATTCAGTGGAATCGAAATGTGTGTGATTCGGTGCTCTCTCTCTTTCTATCTCTGTTCTGTTTGCATGCTACAACTGCCTGCCGTTGTATTCATCGCTGTCGCCACCGCCGCCTACATCCACACATCTATTGATATTAGTATCCATGTAAATATGTCTCATTAGTTTGTGCTACAGCGCACAGTAATTTTATGCCATATTTTAAATTAAAACAATTCAAAACAGAAATTTAATGGTCAATCGGGTGGAGAGCAGCATGCTATATGTCGCATTTTAATTCTTTTTTTTTCTCTCTTTCGTCTATTACATTTCGTTTGGCGAAGAGTGAATTGCGGCTCAAATAAGCCGATTGGCTGTAATGTGTGTGCGTGCGTGCCAAGTTGTCACATCAAATCATTAATGAGTGTTGTTCCCAATTCACTCTCTTTTACACTTTACATCAATCGAGAGTGGTGAGATTGATGCCGAGCCGCAAAGTTTTCGATTTGCCATTTGTGTGCCATATACACAGATACATACACACACACACACACACACACACACACACACACTCTCACCGGAGGGAGACCCGTATTTATGTGGCCGCTCGCGTGCGACATTATTGATGCTGACAACAGAAAAAAGTGCTGTTTATGCGAGAATATTGTAAGCAAGAAGACAAAGAGTAAGATGAAACTCAAAAGAGCAAATTGAACGATAAGGCGAAATGAATACGTAACGTTAACGGCTTAAATGCACAAGATAATGATGTATGTAAAATCGATATTTCACGTGGCTACAGCACAATAAGAAAAGAAGACGCGCTTAGTAACCATTTTTTTTTTTCTTCTTCTCTTGTCTTCTTCTTCTGTTTTGTTTCTATTCTCTGTCACGACTTTATGACGATATGCAATTGGCGATGCGCCTTTGACGAACTTTCAGATGTTGAATATGGGCTGCTTGAAAATGTCCCAAGCCAAAACCGTGTTTGCCTAGCAGCAGCAGCAGTATCGGTACAAATTATGAATGTGCACCGCTCGGAAGCGCAATGAAACCGAGCATGGAACAAATACCACAGATGGTATTTTAATGAAAACTCGCATATGCAAACTACTAAATGTTTCTAAATATGTTTAAATAGCATCCGTTGTTTCTAGTTTCCTCCTACACCACATAGCATAGCCAACACATTACCGATTGTATACCAATCACGTATTTTGTAATTTCTGAGCTGTTTATGTTTTTTTTTCTTTTCTTTATTCATTCTCTGTTCCATTCCTATGAATGAAGCAGTTAAGTTTATTACTAGCATTGATTTGGAAACGGAGAGAGAGCGAGAGTGAGAGAGAGAGAGAGAGAGAGCGAAAAAATGGCAATCTGTGCGCATTTACAAAAGATACACACGCACGCATATGGGCGATAAAATGAAAAATGTCAGAAGGCTCATTTTCGTTTTTATTCCTGACAATCAAATCCATCGGCACATCGGTAGAATGATTTTCGGAAGTTGAATGCACACGTACTACCAACACATACTCAAACACACACACACACACACACACCACTAATAAACAAACGATCGAAAAAGGAAAAAAAAACTAATGTAAACGCACCGAAAAAAAGAATGTAATTAGCTGCTTAAAATCAAATACCTGCGACAAACATGTATAATATAGCGGAACCAGAAGAGTCAATCGACGTTCGCTTTTTTTCGTTACTTTGACACAAGCATCAAAATAGCAAATGCTTAAAACAAGAAATACATACTATTTTGAATTCACCGAAAAAATTGAATAACGAAGCAAGAACAAGGTAGAACAACAACAATAAAAAAAATGATAATAATACACACAAGAAACAAGAAGCAGCAACCTTGCTGACAGCTTGGAAATGAAATAACAACAGCCGATTTCGGAGAATTATGTTAACAGAGAAAAAAAAGAATCAAAACAAAACAAATCACACCTCGACGAATTTTACATGTATATTGGCTGTGGCAAAATGTGTGTTGTATTTCGTTATATCTTTTATCTTCGTTTTTTTCTTCTTTAAATTCATTAATGAACACTTAACACAAGCGATTGCAAGCCAACTTCGACTGAGAATAGACTAGTTAAGAAATCGATTTTACCAGGGAATACACACAATTGTACTACGGCTGTATGTGTGTGTGTGTGTGTTTGCAAGAGTATGCTTATGTGTGCATGTATGTATGTATGTATGTGTGTATGAGATATCGATGTGGGTATGTTTGTGTATGTGTGCGTATTCCATTGAAAAAAAATTAAGTATAAAATATAAATTGTACAATCGTTTTGTGTACATTTTGCAATGTGGGCATTATTCGTTGGCATAAAATTATATGAAAAAAGAACGCACAACAGAGGAACGTTCATTACATTGTAATGAATTGTTTTAGTCGGCTATTTTTGCTCATTATATTTTGTTCACTTGTCATAATTATACAATGAGATCATTGGGGTTCATTTCTCACACACATATTTTCACTCTCAAGCTAATCGATTTCGGTGTTAAGCCGAACACCGCCTCGCCTAATCATACTGAACGGGCATCGTGATTGATGTATCGATTCCCAGAATGAAATGCGTCAGTGAAAAATATAAATTTTTGGAATGCCCAAATGTGTGTAATACCTATTTCATAGTAAAATCAAAACGGTGTATATCCATACACACACACACACATACATTAACACTGAATATTCAAAATGAAAATAAATAAAGACCGAGAGAAAATGGAAGAAAACGATGATGATGAAGAAAAAGAAGAAGAAAAATGACTTTGGCGCTCCACGACTCCTTGCCCGTACGGAATAACTGTATGTTTTTAAATGTATGAAAATGATGGTTCCGAGGTCTGTGTGTATGAATGGATTCGGTGTCTTATTATAGTGCCAATCGACTGACTGGTTTGTTTGAAGTTTACATATTTCATTTCCTTTTGCCTACAACAGGATTCTATTTTTAAACCATTCGAGACTTTCAATAAGTTTGTTGTATTTTTCTGTTCGGATTTGTTCATCTACTTTTTTCTTCTTCTCTCGTTCACGTCATTTTCACCGCGTTTGCGTTTGTTAGTTGGTATAAGTACCCGCCAATAGGCGCGAAAGCTTATTTATGTCGAGTTTTTGATGTTATCTCGTCTGCAAATATGAAATGTGTAGCAAAGGTGTTGTGTTTGAGGTTTTTAGATTTTTAGGTTTCATATATCCGTTTTGTTGCGAATGACACACACGCACACACACATACACACACCGAATGTTCCGTATGCGTAATGAATCACACATATTACACAAACACACACGCTCTAACTCCCTGTCTTTCTCTGTTTCGCACACACATATCGAGAGAATGAGAAAGAGTCATCAACACATTATACGGCCGACTTTGCCTGCCTGCCAGCCGCCGATTTGTGTACTAAACGGTTCGATTATTTTATCATTTCTCGCGTTTATTTTTGGTATGGCTTGGAGCATTTCAATTTCATTTCACTCATTCGACGTGTTGTTTCCAATTTTACCTTCAATTTGACCATATGACATTTGATCATAATTCTAATAATATCAAACGCTCATTTTTTTCCCTTCATTCTGATGATGCATTTTAACCAGAGAAAAAAAATCACAATTACGACGACAAAAAATAAAATAAAGATGAATAAGAGATCTATGTAGAATGCACAAGATGGCTTACGGATTACTCTATATTGCAACATACCAAACTCAAGTGGGACGAAGAGTGGTGATGATAAGCAACGGAACACACATATGATTTTTAAAATGCAAATTTTCCCAAAAATCACAACAATTTTTCCATAAATTTACACAAATTTTGTTAATTAATGACAAAAACAACAGTTTCAACACTATGAAAAAAATCTAATGATGCGGGATGTGTACGTAAAACCTATATAAATTTTTGTACAGTTAAAAACAAACACTGAAAATAAAGTCACTTTGTACACTATTGCAGAGACCAAAAACAAATAAAACACTTCGTTGTTGTAACGCAAAATGAATGACACACGCCCTGTGTGTTTGCAATTACTAAGATTTTAGCTCTCTGTCTCGGCCATTTCAACATTCGATATCTCACTTTGACAGTTCGCTACGTGACATCATTTACACGGTTCAGGCTCGGTGTGGAAATGAGATGGAAATACCGACGACGTACGGTTGTATTTTCGATGAGATAATGTCATAAAACTTACGAATAACATTACCTACAGCGCCACAAAGCTTCAACGCATCGTAGACGAAACTACTGACTTTTCACACACAAAAAAAAACACTCGAATACTTTTAGGCGTTAAACGGGTGATTTTGAATTTAGATACCTTCGGTGCCTATGGCAGGGCTTCAGTTCATATTTTCTCGATTCAAATTCGACTAGAAATATTACTACGCAGGGAAAAACAAGAAGAAAAGTGCTGGAATCATCCGCCATTTACTATCAATAGTTGAAAAGCATCGAAATAATGGGCAATGAATGAATGCAACGTTGAATATAATTTTTAATTACCTTTTAATCACCAGTTTAACACCATCCTGCTTTGGCAAATCATTTAGAGAAAATTTTCATTTTTACAAAGAAAACACATCATCATTTCGATATTGAAAAATTACAATTTAATCTTAAGAAGTGGTCTGACAAGTTTTAAGAACTCCTCGAGAAAAAAATTTAAAATAATTCATTTTGGGATAAAAAAAATGCAGGAAAAAATTATTTTTTTCCTATTTTTATTAGAAATCAATAAAAAACTGCCTTTTTTATTATTAAAAAAAAGAAGAAGAAAATAATTTTGTCAAATGAATCGAGTTGATTTCAGGTTTAATTTTATGATTTATCACATTATCAATGTAGAACACGCTCATTTCTAACTATTCTAGAGATTCATCTGATCGATTAAAAATGGCAAGGGCATATTTTATCTATATTATTGACTGAAAAACCATTCAGAATATTTTTTTTGTTCAAGTGTTCAAAATGCAAAAATTATATTTGAATGAGGTCATAAAAAAGTGATGTTTTTTTTTAACTGTCAATATCTCAGTATTACTGATGCCTGCTCTATATAAACATGTTCATGTTCTGAATTGCAGTTTTTGTTCAAGCTTCATCACCGAAAACCTGTGCTTTTTATTTGTAATTTTCCATGATATTAACTCGCAATTTTATTTTGCCACGCAAGAAGAAAAAAGTCAATACGCTCAGCTTTTTACCGTGAACGTATGAAAAACGAGTAAAAAAAACACTGTTGAAAAGCAAGTCTCATGTTGGCGTCAACATATAATTCAGTAGCCAAACTCAGTATATACAACGTGTATATATTATGTACTTGGTGATCGTGATTGCAGTTGCTAAAAGGATTCATTATTGTTTTCGCTGCTGAACTGTTTTTATTTTTAAATGTAGCGAGCGACAAATTTGGTGATTCGCTTGGCCAGCTTCCAATAAATATTTTCCAGATTTTTCTGATTAAATTTCGATTTTTTTCGTACATTGTTTCAGTTGTTCCGAATGATGAGTTCTCTCCGTGGAAATTGCGTATGAAATACAAAACCTTTCGGAATACTATTATTTGCGTCAATGGAGTGGGGAGGGATGTTGTGAGGTTCTATTCGTTGACCGAAGAGGTCATTCACTACATCATCTCTTTTGCTTTTTTTTTTAATTTCTTGATCAGCATAAGCGAAATCGAAGGAGCGTCGAAAATGTCGTTTATCGCCGTTTCAAATGCATGGGGCGCATATTTTTCAAGTAGACTCCACCATTAATCTTCCCAATGAGTAGTAGTTTAGTTTATTGTGAACCATCATCAATTCACGAGATGGAAATATAGAATTTAACTTTTATTTTTATTGTTCGTTGAAATATTATATTTAGGCAGCGAGGGAGAAAGAGAGCGCGCGCACATGAGAGCAGAATCCATTATTCCGGTTTTTTTCCTCTGTGTGCCCATTTGTGACGATGTCTTATGTGTTCCAATAAAACTTCTGTCGTTGTTTACAAGCGATTCGCTGTGTGTCTATTTATTTAAGCAGGAAGCGGCAAAGTTTTTGCTGATGAAAAGAAAAACCGATGCAAAAGATGTGCCCAATCAAAATATTTTTTCAGTCGAATTTTGACGAACAATAGTCGAGCGACAGAAGAAAAATAGTTTTTATGGCCCTTCACCGAACAGAAGAAAAAAAAATGATTCAAAACGACTGACTACCCTTGCTGAAAAAGGAAGCAAGTGAATTTGTACACAGAAGCGAGCGGCGAAAAAAAAGCGCGAGCAAGCGACCGACAGACCGAACAAGTAAACGGTTAAGTTTTTGGGCGCATTTCAAAATCTCCCTCAGAATCTCTATTCATACACACTCTGGCGCGCCCGCTAAGAATTGAGCAGACAAATTCGAAAAAATTCGAATCCCTCTTTCGACGACATAAGATTCGTGCAATAAAATAGTGTAATAAAGAAAACAAGTGGTGCCGAATAGTCGGCAATTGATGCCAATAAATAGTCAAGTTTTTGTTTTGCCGCCAGTGAGACGCATGTTTAATTCCGCATCTCTCGAAGCAGAAAGAGAGCAGCAGCGACGGTGGCGGCGGCAGCAGCAGCAGCAGCAGCAGCAGCAGCAACAACAACAGCAGCATCATCATCATCGACGGAAAATATGCATACAACAACAATACACATAATGCGCGTTTGGATAGTATAAAAGCCAGAAACATTTATGTGTGTTTTTCAACAATAGGACGACCAGGGACTGTGGAAGAGAGAGGGGGAGATAGAGGGAAAGCGAGCGAGCGAGAGAAATTCTGCTGAATCTAGCATGCGACCACTACCAAACACTATCTATCTGTACGGTGCCATGTCATGCGATGCCATGTCACAGCATATCGCGCCACTGACACCGCCGTCGATGTAGTCGTGTGTTTATTCAAGTCCACATCTCCAAAAAGCGACTGGATCGAAATCATTGTGTATTGCTGTTTTTTTTCCTATTTATTAAATTAGTATCGGATGAAGGCATGAGATCTGTTCTGTGTTCATTGTGTGCACTACTGCTGTCGCCGTCATCTTCGTCACTACCACCGTTGCTGCTGATGCTGCTGGTTCCGAAGTGTGCTCACATTCACGCCAATCTGATGGAAGTTTCTTGATAAAAACGGACTCCTTACTTCTCTCCCAAGTATATGATTCAAGATCATCCAACGATAACAGCTCGCATTTTTATCGCGACTTACATAGTTGATGTTATGTTCGGAAAAAGTAAAACTATAAAAATATTCCGCTCTTAATGCGCCGCCGAATAAAATCATTGTTGAAATGGAGCGATAGAGATGGAGAAAAACCAATTCAACTAATTTTCCCTCATAAATTTGAACAATATTCATGCGAATTTTATTTGGTCTTATCATTATCAACAAAACTTATTCGCCCAACTTTGCTATCGAATCTCTCTTGTTCACATTTTTCATCTTCAGATCGAAATGAATTGTTTTTTCTCTTCTTCCTCTTCACTTTCATCTCTCGCACTCATATCTCAATCTCTCTATTCATAAATCGGAGGCCTAAATGTGGTGTCGCCTGAATCCGACACACACACACACACATACGACAGACCGTGGAATTTGATCCAAATGTCTTTATAGCTTTTTAAATTTTTTTTTATCGTTTCGACAAAATGACTAACGGAAAACATTATTTTTACTACAAATATTACGATCGAATAAATTTTAGCATCCGTGAAAAATTGCGGCATTCGGGCAATAATACGCATTAGAATAAATATCTATTTTATTTTTTATTTTTCGGTGGTTGTGATAGTGATGGTGGTGGCGATGACAATGACAATGCAATGCACGCATTAAACTTTTTCTTCGGAAAAATTGTATTATGTCATTTCGATAGTAAAACAAGGGTGTTAAATTACGTTAAAACTAGTGGAAAGAGTCATTGCTATGCAAACTGTAATGCGAACAACAAACGAGCATTCGCTCACGCGCTATGCGCGCACTGTGTGACAACTCTATTGCTGTGTATGAGTTCAGTATGTGTGTTGCAACCACCCCAAAACATAAATCAAACCCCAGCCTTTTTATTTCAATCGCCCGTTCTCTCTATTTCTCTCATCTCCTCTTTGGTTCTTCATATAGATTGCATAGGACCACATAGTGAAGAAAACAAAAACTCTTCCATATATCTGCATTAGAAATAAATATCCCGAATATTTATTCGAAACGATGCATTCGGCTCGTTCTCTCGCTTGCTCGCTCGGTCTCTTCCCGATTTTATGTCTTGTCATATAATTGCAACATGTTAATGCGAACCGAGTGAAAGAGCACTCAACGACTAGGCATTAGATGATTTTTGCGAATCACTCATCCGTTGCATGATTTTAGTGGATATTGATACATTTGGTTTCGATGTGATTTAGCTAAAAACATTTCACTGTCTTCATTCTTCGTCGTTCTCATTTTCGACGAATAGATTTGCCGTTAGTTCTATCAATCTTATTTATGAGAGACAAACACATGACCATTCTTTCAATGCACAGATTTATTTCATCGGAAATGCTTTGAATATATTGTATGGAGTTTTGACATGTTTGGATTGGGTTTTTTTTTCTTTCTTTCTTTTTCTTGATGTCTTTTGACCTACCACCCGCCCCGCATGACTCATCCACCACGCTCTTTTATTCCATCGTCGAAGTGCATTAAAACCGGAATGGTTAGCAATGAGTCATATACATATATATATGGGATATGATGAAGAATATTCTTCGATTAATTAACATTTTATGTTTGCATTTAAGATGATAGTCTTGACGGAAAACCAGATACACATCGATTTTATGCAATCCACAAGAAAATTAATGTGCACACAAACAATTCTGCCATTTTTCATGCAATTGGCGATAAGCATCACGGTTCATTGTTGAAATTTCATTTCACATACCGCATACGCAGCAGAAAACCGTTACACGCCTCAAAACAACAACAAATTTAACGGATTTCAATGTAAAATTCGCTCTAATGAACGCAAACGTATCAAACGTGGAAAATGGGCGCTGCGATGATTTTAACATTGATTTTAAATGCTTTTGATCGTCAATAAGAGTAACTCTAAACTTTGCCTTAGCAGTAAAATTTTACGCAAAACTTTTGACATTTTTGCGATGAATCAATTTCCTTGGAAGAATTCAAATACGCGATGCGAAGTTTCTCAAAGCTTGAAGGATGCTCTTTTGAAAATTGGAGAAAATGCATTTAAAACTGAATCATCATTTGAAAATTTAAAATGAAGGCCAAGATTAAAATGTTGAACGTTTCAAGTGGAACAAAATTATATTGAACATTTTTTACGTTCATGCATATATTTATCATATTTAAGTTTGTCATGAGTAAACAGGATATGAGCAGAAGCAATATCACTCTCTTTTCAAATGTTAATACCCTAAAGCAATGACTCATAACGAAATTTGTGTTTAATTTAACGAGAGAAAAAACCGTTTTTTGCCTTCGTTGGTAATGATTCAAAAATGAATTAATCATCTTCAAAATATATTTCTTTTTAGCCATAATCGTCGAGACAATGTTCTCTTTTTTCAATACATTCTTCCCAAATAGACTCGAATGTGTTAATCCATTTATGTTTTACCAAAAGATAATGATGATTGTTCAGATTTCCAACATTTTATTGTGGTTGAATTTGAAAAAAACTCCAGCATGAAATAATCGTTTAAAACACAAACTTCCCAATTGTTTTAGTAATCAACTTAATTCTTATTATTGCAACTCTCTGTTCAAATAAAGGAATGACATTCTAAGGAATGACTTTCTTCTTTAAGACCATTATAAATCGCAGCCAATTGAAACATATAACAACGTTGTGTTTGTCAATTGTTCTTTTGAATGATTGCGTAAACTTATCAATTTCAGCCGCAATGACCAAAATGACGACCGCAGCAATGAATCATCTAAATCCAGTTTTGAAATGTGACGCAGCCATTGTTTCGATTTCAATGTTCATGTTTTCGCAGCCTTCATAAATAGACATCAATTCTTCAATTCACGTTACATGCCAACTCAACTATCATGACTACTTCTCAGTACATAGCGCTCGTTGCCACAAACTTTCGCCTCATTTCGACGATATCAAAATGCAACGGAATTATCTTTTCTCTAAATTCCACTTTCATTCCGCAAAAAGAAAGAAAAACAAGGTTTGTATGTTCATATATTGTTTCAATTTTATTTCAAGGCAATTAACATATTAATAAACAGAGTTCCAACTACGATTGAATTGGATTGCAATTCAAAGATTCTTATAAACATTCTCCAGGTAATTGGAAATAATTGGATAGATTGGATCGTATTTGATAACATTCTTCTGGCGAACAACGTTACGATACTTTTGCAGGGCGCCAGTCACCAGTTCCAATCTGAAAGAATGCGCACAAAATGATTGAAAATAAGAAGCGTTATCGTACGAGAATAATTGGTTAGTGTATTAAAAAATGAGCGCAGATTTTTTACCTTTCTTTGATGGATACGTGTGTGCTGAGCCATTCGGTGATTTTCTCATTCGACCATCCGGCCGCGACATGAGGACTAGCCAAATCACTGCCCGCATGACCGAATAGCAAAAGTAATACGATGAATGGCGAAACGGGACCATCGATTTCGATGGATTTCTTCGACAAATCATCTGGGGTCAGTGTAATTAAACTGGATAACGATCGAAGGGTTCTGGATAAAAGATTGAATTAGACGGTTAACGAAATCGACCGGTAACCAATAAAAGGCTGGGTAAGGGATAAAATCTATAATTTTGATCCCAATGTAATCAATGTACCTAAATGTCCGGCTCATGATGCTCAAGTCACCAACTAGTGTGTTCAAAGCATTTTCCAAATGTTGGCAATCGGATTTGAGTCGTTGTCGACCCGACGACGATATTGGTCGGATAATTGCCACATTCCACACAAACAATTCAACACAGCATTCGGCCAATTCTTTACCATGCATTTCCACCAACTGTTTATCCTTAAATGGTGAGATATGATAGTCCCAAGCACGGAATAGAAACTCTTGTAACTCTTTCATGTATAATGACGGTGCACTCGACATCGTTCGATCACTATTCAAGCCGGGCTCACGATGAATGCTCAATAAAATGATGCCGGCCGCTGATTTCATCGAATCGACCAACTGTTCCACCACTTTTTGGACTATTTTCGATCCATAATCCAATGATTCAATTATATTTTGGGCCGAACGTGAATTCAGGAAGTCATTGCCCAGATTCTGTATCATTCGTTTCACATAGAGATTGTGATCGTATATGGTGTTGGCATTTGTGATGTTTTGCAATTGAACGGCGTTTGGAACATCTGTACGAGATAAAAAATTTAGTACATTATTCACATTGAAATGTTTGCCAAAAATACCACCACTAAAATCTTACCCAAAACTTGCTGCGCATCGCCGCCAATTTTGATGTTCGTTTCAATTTTCGTCCAAAATTCTTTATTACATGCGATAAATATCGCCGTGACCATTGCACATAATCGATTATCGGAACACACATTTCGCAATTCCTTTTCAACAGCTTGCAGAAATGATTCGATTGTCTCCTAAAATTGGACATTGTTCAAGGCACAGATAATAATCATTTTGCTCTTTATATTTCTTTATGTATTTGAGTGACGACCCAACAAAAATACGTACTTGATTTGGTGTGTCGGCTGAAACTAGCGTCACTTTCAAGTTATTTGCACATTGCTCCAAATAGCCTGCTTCCAATGACACGAACAAATTGTCACCGCTGCAATAAAAAAAAAATACGATTTTGAGAACTTTGGACAATTCCAAAGGAAATTAATATGCTACTCACCCAATATTCAATCGATTTTCACATTTGGAATACAATTGCTTCGCTAAATGCAGTAATTTTGGGAGATCTTGTACGAGACATTGTCGGATATGTGCCGGGCATTCGGTGAAAGAAACTCGCAATAGCTCATTCAATCGATCGTGAAAGTTTTTCTCAATGTCAACGCTTTCAAATAAATTGGTAGCATTGGGCTGGTGCACAACTTGTTTCAAACATTTTGTAAGAAAATTGATCTGTTTCCAGCAATTATAAATCTCTTCGTCAAACAGGCTCTCCAATGCCGTCCAGAATTTCCGTGAAAATTGCTGTGAAGCGGTCGTTCCTTGTGGTTTGCCCGGACTTGGTTTTGGTTTGCTCTGGTCAACACCACTGCCTGGTTTCGATTTGCGTTCGGTGACCTTTTTCGTTTCAATTCCGGCAAAACATTCTTTTATCGAATGCTTGATATCACCAATGAAAATGTCCACCAAATCGTCCACATACTTTGTCAACACCTGCATGTTCGTGAAAACCTAGAACAAAACGTGGATTGTTTCATAAAAGTAAGGTTTTCAAATTCGTCAAGAATAAAAACAAACCTGTAAGCTTTTAATGGCCTTGTCTTCATCGACCAAACCTTTTAGTGCACCCAGCAAATCATGATGAGCTGAGCTTGTGAGCTTCTGTTTCAGACCGGCGGCTACAATGCGCTCTTCGCGTATGAATTCGATTTGATTGAGTTGTTCATTGTCGATGAGCAGCTCAATTTCAAACAGAATGACCGCTTGTGCGGCCATGTCCTTTGATTCGGCCGATAATTTTTGGAATAATTGCAAGAATCGATTCGATTGCCGTAGAATATGTGACACATCATGTAATCTGGTTAGTGCTCTCGTTTGATTCGAAAGTAGGCCGTATGGTGTGTTAATTTTGCTCTT